GTGTGTGTGTGTGTGTGTGTGTGTGTGTGTGTGTGTGTGTGTGTGTGTGTGTGTGTATGTGTGTGGGTTTGTGTGGCTCCAGGGCTGAGGGGTCGACAGATGTTCCTTCTCAGTGAACACAATGAATTACTTATAGGCTTTTAAGCCAAACACGGCTGCTATGGCCACTGGTTTACCTAAGACTGATATGGCCATCTGCCGAGGTGACTGCCTTGCTTGCTGCTCTTTACAGACACGTAACCAGGCACTTATCTGGCAGGGTGGGAGACCCACTGCCCATTCAAAACATCAGGAGTTTCACAAATGTCTGTGTGGATTTTTTAAGTGTACGTGTATCCATGTATGTGTCATTGTGCATTCATGTATGTAAAAATAATAAGAGTTGTAAGAGTGTGAGCCAGGGCATAAATCAGGGCTAAGTTTATGTCTGGAGTGAGGAGTGAAGTAAAAGCATGGACTGTATATACCAAGGAAAACTTGGTTCTGCCTTTCGCCAGTAGACAGATCTGAAGTCAAAAAGTTCTCTGTATTTCTGCGATTTTTCTTCATTTCCTGAAACCAACGTTGGGCAGTAGCGTTGTACGCACCTCACTACTTGCGCAGTAGCATTGTACGCATTCGGCAGGAGAGTCGCCGAGAGTCGCCGTGATGACGCTCAGCTCAAACAGCATTTCCCCTGGGTGAGCTACGCAATCTTTGTACGCCCATAGGCTGTATCATGTATCAATCATGGAAAACATGAACCCCCTAATAACTTTTAAAAACAGAGCTGTACAGAAAGAAGAGGACTTGAGCACAAGCCTGTCTGACAGTAACTACATGTCAACATCACAAGCAGGGGGGAGAAAATTTTATGTTCTGTGTAATAAATTTCTAAAGTTTGTCCACAGCTCCATAAGCTTTGCTGGAGGAGGCGGGATTTATGACCTATACTGCAGCCCATCAACAGAGGGTGCTGTTCTCAGAATGGCTTTCCCCAGCAAGGAGGCAGGTGGCGTCCATTCTATATGTAGTTTATGGGTAAAAGGGAAGAACTCTAAACAAAACTGGCTTTTATTTTGTGTGTGCACATGTGTTAGCATCCAGAGAAGAGGAAGGAAAAAAATATGAAAAGTCATCAAAGTGGGGAGCAAAGGTGGATTTAGAAGGACAGTTTTTTTTTTTTTTTTTCAATGATAGGCAAACGTGTTGGCCTAGCATACACATCGTTATTGAGCTATTCTCAACGATCTCTAACTAAAGCACTGATGCAACTCTGTGTAAGTGAACACTCAAATTGGAAAGTTTTAAGTGCTCTTCTTTGTTGTCAAAAAATCTGTTAGTTTTTGCACTCTCCTCTTATGTAATAACATTGTGTTCCATTTTTTATTGTTTTATTGATTTTCTGGATTTTTTTCCCCCACAAGAATACAGCATATTTAAATGTTATTTCAATTTACACAGTCATCTCCAAAACACAGGGTGTAATGTTCTTCAGTTATATTGGCCCATTGAGTTCCCCCTATCCCACATCTCACTGCCCCCCCCCCCCCCCCCCCCCCCCCACACACACACACACACACACACACACACACCCATTCACTCACCCATAGGGTTACAGAACACAATGAAGGAATCGGACCTTGGTTAAGCAACTGAATGAAAACTAAGAAAATGAGAAAAATAAAAGGAGAAGGAAAAAAAGGGAAATAAATACATACAAACATGAAATAATGGGAGATGTAAAATTCCACCAATGCAAAAGGTCATGGATGTGTTTTAGCCTACTCATTATCAAGGGGTTCTTTTAAGGAGGAGTCATAATAATCAAGAAAGGACTTGAGAAATGATTGGGAATCCTTTAACTGTGTACTTGTTTTTTTCTAACTTTGAGAAGTACATGACATCTTTGACCCAGTGTGGACAGGATGGAGGTGTGTGTTGCTTCCACTTAAAAAGGATCTTACAATGTATTCTTTAACCTAAGAAGTGCTGGTCAGCTAATGGGGTTTATGTAATGTAAATAAATATAGACACACACTCACCACACACTTAATTAAGTATACCTGTTCAATTGCTTTTTAACAAGCAAATAATTCTGTTTGAGAAAGGCTCCGACTTTGCCTAGATGTACCTGAGAGGGAACACAAACACATTTAAATTCAAATTTCCTCCAAAAAGACAAAAACAAAGAACAAACCCTGTACAAATGTCTGTGTGCCCAAGAGTGTTTGTATGTGAGTGCGTGTGCAAACCAATTACAATAGTTGCACAAAAGAGCTTGATAACACAATTACATTTCCCACAATGCTATTAAATTAGATACTAAAAAGATGCACACAGCATACAATAGCTTTATAAACTGCTCATTTGTGAAATACACCTTTTTTGTAGCTTCCCTGACATGAATTACCAGAAAGACATACAATGACAGATTATGTGTGGCTTTCATATGCTAAGTGGCTTGAGTTTATATGATATATATGACACCGTTTTCCAGTTTTTAACTCGGCTCTGTCTGTCTCTCTACAGCTGAGGAACAACAGAGGGAAGACATAAGGAGACCTGAGGGTTCACAGAAGCACATGAGAGACTCTTGTGTAGACATGTGCTGACCTTTGTTTTTTGTTTTTTTTTAAACATCAAACATGCTCGAACAACATTTCACTGCAGGAACACCCCAGTTATAAGGTACACAGTAGACGTGAATTTGAATATTTAGGGATATCCACTGGCCAGAGTCTAAACCACTATGCTCCCCTACTCACCTCTCCCACTGGTGAACTAATGGTGGCCTTTGAGAGTGAGAAGCTTTCCTGATGCATGATTAGTGGGATTCTTCTTCTGGCTGTTTTCACTTCCAAAAACTTTATCTGTACAGATTCTTTAGCATGCAACAACTGCTCTCTCTCTCTCTCTCTCTCTCTCTCTCTCTCTCTCTCTCTCTCATGTAGATGTGGGAAACGTGTTGTAAGTTTACAAAGAGAAACCAGTAATAGAATTAGGATTATTGTACCCTAATTTAAAAAAACGTATGAATCTGTGTATCTATCTATCTATCTATCTATCTATCTATCTATCTATCTATCTATCTATCTATCTATCTATCTATCTCTAATAATTTGCAACACAATAAACATGACTATTGTGTAAAGAGTAACTTATCAGAAGACATTTTGACTATAATTACTAGGTATTTGAGTTATTGTTGCTTAGAATTTGCTTGGCATATACCAGCCATTCGTTCCACTTGTTTCAGGTATGTTCTAGGGATTGCATTCCAAGCTTTCTTAAGTTCATTAAAAAGAGACTGCTGATTCGTGGGATGCGTCTTTCTGACAGATCGATCCAATTTATCTCGCACAAGCTCAATTGGAGAAAGGTCTGGAGACTGAGGGGGCCAAACCATCTTTTAAAGAACACCTTCCTCTTCTTTTTGTCTAGGTAACCCTGACAGAGTAAATAGACACACATGATGAAGCTAAACAGGATATGTAATTCGTCTCCCTCCTTTTTTTTCTTCCTCTTCCTCTTCCTCTTATTTCTCGCGCAGCTCAACCTGGACGCCTCAGTGTCCTCTCCCCGTCCTGCTACAGCGGCTGAACAGATGATTTGTTTCAGTGATGATTCCGATTTTAATGCCATTTTTGGAATTAATAATGTGATCTGTGCGCACAGACACTACATATAACAATATATATATATATATATATATACACACACACACCTTCTCACACCTTCTCATTCAATGTCTTTTCTTTATTTTTTTATATGACTTTTTACATTGTAGTTTATCACTGAAGGCATCAAAACTATGAATGAACACGTGGAATTTTGTACTCTTAAAAAAAGTGTGAAATAACTGAAAACATTTTTTATATTCTAGTTTCTTTAAAATAGCCACCCTTTGCTTTTGATGACAGAAGTACTTAGTGACTGACTCTGTCAGTCACTAAGTAACCCTGACAAAGCACACCTGTGAAAAAAACATTTCAGGTGACTACCTTATGAAGCTCATTGAGAGAACAGCAAAAGTTTGCAGCGCTATCAAAAAAGCAAAGGGTGGCTACTTTGAGGAATCTAAAATATAAAACATATTTTCAGTTATTTCACACTTTTTTCTTAAGCACACATGTGTTCATTCGTAGTTTTGATGCCTTCACTGAGAATCTACAATTTTAATAGTAATGAGAATAAAGAAAATGCATTGAATGAGAAGGTGTGTCCAAACTTTTGGCCTGTACTGTATATATAAAGTGGTGTGAAAAAGTGTTTGCCCCCTTCCTGATTTCTTATTTTTTTGCATGCTTGTCACACTTCAATGTTTCAGATCATCAAACAAATTTAAACATTAGTCAAAGACTACAAAAGTTAACACAAAATGCAGAAATACAAAAGTTCAAATAATCAAAAAAATAACTGATTGGCTAACTATCTGGAGCTCATTCCTTTGCTTTTGCCAGTGCATCTCTCCGTGGGCCCGTTGTCAACCCTAAAAAGCAGGACATGCTTTCTCACCTGGATTCAGAGAACATCATTAGTCTTGGTATGTGTGCATGAGTTTAGCTTGTTGTCATGCTAAGAGCTGGCACTCAAGAGTACCTTTGAGCATGCTATATTGTTCATGTAAAAAAAAAACAATGAAAATATAGAAAGAAAGAAAGAAAGAAAGAAAGAAAGAAAGAATCGCCGAGCAGGTTGTCTTTAAGGCAAGACAGGAAAAAATCAATCGATTGCCTATAAAGAGATGAGAATAAACAAAATACCAGGGAAGCCCATACCTTTTAAACCATTCACGTTATTCTGCTCGTTGTCTTTTTCTCCTATGTCAAATAATGCCGATCTGATTTAGCCTGCTTTAAAATGAAGTCTGTGTGCGTGTGTGTGTGTTTGTGTGTGTGTGTGTGTGTGTGTGTGTGTGTGTGTGTGTGGGGGGGGGGGGTGACGTCAGGTCCCATCAGGCTGACAGACCTCCTATTGAATCACTGGAGGCTTTTAAAGGAGCAGGCAACAGTGGACCAGAGGGCAGTACTCGTCTTCCGAAGCAGCGTGCGTCTCGCTCTCTTCGTTTGTCCAGGCAACACGTTGGCAGCAACAAGGGAGCCGGACAACGACCAGGTGAGACTCATGGCAGTCTGAATCAAGAGTGGGGGGTTGGCTAGAGGGGGGACCGTATTGAAGGAACACCTTGTGCTGGTAGACAGGCAGCAATAAAAATAGGGATAACAAACGGCAAGCATAGTAATATTAGTCTGTTCTCCCCGAGAGAAAACTACTCAATTCCAACCACTTTGTACAAAGCGCATTGAAAGTGAAGCTCAGATACCTCTCATGTTTTATCTCCGCTTCTCTCTCTGTCTCTCTTTCTCGTGGTCAAGGTGTTATGATGTGATGATGGGGACGCAGCGTCAGAGTGGTCGACTGACATACAAGATATCAACAGGTATGTGAGCCCGTCCATCCAACTCCAGTTCAGTTTCACAAATAGGTGGGCAGCCACTCTTCTGAACAAAGTAAGTCTCAGCGTCGTAAGATCTCCGTGCAGCCAGGCACTTAAGACTGGCGTTGACCCCCAAAGGCTACTTACCGGGGTTTTTATGTCAGCATAACGAGATTTTTGACATTTTCAGTTTTAACTTTAATTTGAACCCGGTCCCGCAATGTCGCCCGCTCCGGATCTTAATGCTTCATGGGGTCAAATGACAACAACTCAATGTTGAGCCTGCCGAGTGAATCAATATCCGACTGGTCTCCTGTAGGCTAGACCAGTAGATTATAGAGAAATAATGCGTGGCTCATTTCCTCCCCAAATAGTGTTCAATATAAGAAACAATAGCCGCTGAGAAGCTTTCATGGAAATGATGATAGGTTGCAACCCCCAAAATTTCGCTCATAGTCATCTTTTGTGTTGTTGCTCTGAAAAAAGACTGGTAGTCAAAGGTTATAATTGATGTGTTAAACATAGGAAGAAAACTGGTTTCAGCACCACAGCAGCAGACAGCTCCGCAGCTCTGGACTGAAGCCCCCAAACAAGGAAATAAAAAGAGGTAGTGAGAGTAGTGATACCAACCCATTCCCAAACACTTGGACAGGGCACACACACACACACACACACACACACACACACACACACACACACACACACACACACACACACACACACACACACACACACACACACACACACACACACAGGGCTGATGTTACGCTGACTACTCTAAAGCTGATGGAGCCTTTAAAAAAAAGTCCATCACTGTTTCAATTATGCCGAAACACTCTTGAAGAAAAGCTAATGGAGTCTTCTGGTAACAGCATGGCAAGTGTGAAGGCCAAGATGTATTATGCATATTATTCATTTTTGTCAAAGTACCAAATCATTCTGGGTGAATCGCCTTGGGATGTGTCAGAGACAGGCAGTCTCCTTCTGGCAGGGTCTGAGGTGTCAAAGTGGAATCTGGAGTGCAGCCAGAATTTCCACTGAATGAGCCTGGCTGGTAAGGGAAGGGGGGGGGGTTATGTGATCTGAGGCTCACATGGCTACACCCACATGTACATATCCAAACACATACACATGCACACACCAAATGGTGTGACACAGCACATGCAATCTGTGGCCATGAGAGAAATTCAGTGCTAGCAGGTGTTCAAACAGGCCGCTCAGTACATTCTTCCAATTATTGCAATTAGATGCTGCCTGGTTACCACTCCATAATGTACAACTGTGATGAAGGTGCGCTGATATGAACAAGTGTTTGTGTGAGGCAGAGGAGGGGGAAGGATGACACTGAGACAACACTAGAGGGAAAAGAGCAAGGAAGCGGAGCCCCTCAGTGAATCTGTGACAATATGGAAACAGTTGCTGTCTGTTGAGAATGATATATATTATACAAAGTAAACATTTTGTGAGGGCATGATCCCCTTTTTAACCCTGTGTCATTAACAGCTTGAGCAGATTGTCTAGAAACAGTGAGCTTTGTCCCTCAGTCATATACCACAAAAGTAGATTTCATTAAAAAAGAAAAAAGGGGTCTTTGATACTGTAGGGAGGTTGCTGCATTTAAGATAAACAAGTGCTAAGTATTAGTTTTGTATTACTTAGGAAGTGACGTGCAACTAAGACAGAAAACGCTGACATTTGATAGGTTAGAACTCCCACATGCCTAGCATTTCTCGATTGATAATGACTTGAATGTTTCTTACCGTTAAATAGATTACGGAAAAAGTTTTCTGTTACCTTGAGCTAAAGGCACAAAATATAGTACAAAAATATTTTTGTCTTCAGTGCAACCTCAACCCCCCCGTTTGACAAAGCATGTGCATTTGTCAAACAGGAGGAGTAAGTGATGAGACTAAATGTAGTTTTAGTAAAGCTATTCTTTAGTTAATGTAAAGACATTAAAAAACCTACCAAAACTAGAAACACAAGAAAGCAGATAATAAAAGAAAAGAGTGTGTGATAGAAGGCACATGTAATCCATCATTATGAGGGAACATCTTGATTTGATGTCTGATTGAGCTGTCATGTGTTACAAGGAGTCGAGGGCAATCAGTGACCGTGGTCTTCTTATCAGAAGGCAAGGACAAGAAAGAAAGAAAGACAGATAACAGGGTGCCATAAAGTGGGACAGCAAAGACTGACATCCGAGCATGTGTGTTTAAGTGTGTGTCCACAGGTGAGGGTGCGTGGGTCATATTAAGCAGGAAATGTTTGTGGCAGCTGTCGGCCTTGTTTGAACAGCAATCACAATCAGCCACCGCAGCAGCCAAGCGTGTGCTTGTGACAGTGCTGGTGGGAGACTCTGCCTTCATGCCCCTGCTTTTCAGCGTACACCTGCTTATCCTCCTCTTCCTCCTTCTCCCTCACCCTCTGTTCCTCTTTGACCTCCCCTTACTGCTTTGCACTACTTCTGCCTTTTTCACCTTAAACTGAAGTGATTGACATTGCAACAGCTCCACCATTTTCTTGACCGACACTGAAATGTGATGGATTAGTGTAATATTTGAAAAAGACTTGTCCGTCTGCCCGGCTGAGGGTCTTTGCTGGAAAGCTGAAAAAAAAAAAATTCTATTCCTCTTTTTTTTTTCTTTACTTAAGCAACAAAACATTTTCACCTCATAATGTTTTCATCATCATAACTTTGTATTAAAATACAAATGAGAATATGCACCACGAGCCTGGGAATAAAGGGATGACAAGACAACGGTATTAGGATGCAGGCTTCAATTGAAACAAGGACTGCTTTTGTCTCTTTTTTTTTTTTAACAATATTTCTAGGTTTGTCCTTTCCTATTCTACAAAAATATCTTTTGGCATGCAGCTTTACTCAGTTTTTATGTTCACATGACTATAAAATGTTCCTGATACCAACAGGATCCTGAAGGTAGTATTAGGATGTTGAGGCTGTACTGCTTCATAGCCTCTGTAAATTGTCACCTAAAAGCCAAATACTATTTGTTAGCAATGTTTTATCTTAATTTTTTGATCATGAGTCTTTTTAAAACACATTCCTTAAACCTAGAAAGTTGATTTTTTTCTTTAATCTGAGATAATATAAACACATTATATCACTGTGTTCGTAAATGTGTTTTCATTCTACTACTAAACACTCACAGCTAGACTAGCTGCAATTTTTAACACAGTTGTTAATGTTAAAACATGATAAAAATGTTAAAACACTGAATTAGTGTATCTGAAGAGACAACGGTAACACTGTATGTCAAATTGACCACATGCCAAAGTAATATTCTCATCTTTAATGTGGTTTTAATCCAAAAGAGCCCCATTAGAGAATGAAAACATGTGCAATGTTTTGTCATTTCTTAAACTTTTTCCCCTCCTCTACTCTTTTACCTTTTTTCTCGTCAACACCATGTTTACACGGACAACCTTATCCTCATCCTTCCCCCTTCTCACTTTACCTCGTTTAATTTGTTCTTCTTGCTCCTCTACATCTCCTTGGCGTAATCCATTGTTAGAGGTGGCCTTTTCATTTATTGGAGGAGGTGGGAAAGAGAAGAGATGGAGAAGTGAGGGAGGAGGTGATGGGGTTGGGTTGTCACTTGAGGACGCTTGAGGATGGGTTGAAAAACACTGGTGGGCGGGGTTATGGGTCCTCTAAAGCAACAGGCTTATCATGGTTTATGAAGTAGATTGATAAGTGACAGGAGCAGAACTTGATGTATTCAGCCTTTATTTTAGCAGAGATCAGCTCTGTGAAGGTGATATGGCTCATATTGTTTTCTTTTTTGTCATTGACTTACATTAGACAAACTTCCAGGCTTTGTTGATCAGCTCGTAGCGACATGGTTAAATCTCCTCTGCTAGTCTGATGTTGGAGCATATTTTCTGTTGTTCTGTTATTCTGCTGACTGTGAGTCATGATGGGTTAGTTGAATAAATGATGATGCTGTCTTTCCTTTGACGGGGTCTAACATCTGAGCTGTCAGGCTCACTCCTTCACAATTTTGAGAAAGTATTCATTTCAATGGCGCTGACAAAGGACCAACAGGATTAAGGAAAATACAGATTAGTGCAAAAAAAGCATCATGCTTGAAAACTGGAAGTTCAAAGAGAAAATCTGCATCTATCACATGTGCCTTTGCTCAGTCCTTCAATTGAACGGTATGAACAACTGGCAGCTTATAAGTGGAGTACATTTGAGTCAATGAAATCCCTTCAAAGCTGCAAGACATTACTCTGAACTTAAAACCTTGTTTTTCAGTTCAGTTGATATTTCTCATGGTGGATTGATTTCTTTAGAGACTACGTGTCAGTAAATAATATCAAACACTGCTTAAAGAAGTCATTGAAGACAGTCATTCAGAATGACAGCAGGTACTTTCAGGATAACAATAATTAAAGACCTGCTGATAAGCTGGTCAGGGACAGGCTGTGAAACCCTTACGGGCTAATTACCTTGCATTATAGATACAGAACAACTGTAGTTGAGCTAATTAGTATATGCTTCTTTAATACAATGTTTTTACTGAAGAGCATTGTTGTTATCTTCACAAAGGGCAGATGTACAGATATATGACATTGCCATGACATATGGCAAATTGTTGTAATATAAACACTACTGCTTTTTTTTGTTTGTTTGTTTGTTTGTTTGTTTGTTTGTTTGTTTGTTTGTTTGTTTGCTTGTTTCTGGTCTACATTTCAATCCAGGAAATTCTTCATACCACACATGACAATATGTCTACAAATACTACCTAACAGAGCAGTTTTAAATACTCTGATTGCTATCAATTTATCAGGATTGTGGAGCCTGCTGCATTGTTGGTGTATAACTGCATTGACTGTCAATTTTATGAAGCCCTTAAATCTATGAAAATCTAAGATTGTTATTTGTATGCCAGTTTTTGTTTGAAATAAATAAATAAATCATAATGATAATAATAATAATAATAATAAATGGACTAACAATTCATTTTTTCCCTCCAAGGCTGATGGAGAGTTCTTCATCTTGAGATCAAGCACTCCATTGTCAACCAGCACACTGTGAGCAACCGCCAGCATGCCAACATCGGCTGCTTGTGTTTTGTTTGCGATTGGGAAGTGTACAGTGAGCCTATGTGTGCGTATGTGTGTGTTTGTGTTGTGGTGTCTTTTCCTGAATGGCAGACCATTTTTGCAGATTTGTCCTATGTGAACTCTGTAATAAACCTCCATGCTGGTGTGGAAGTGGGCATGCCAAATTAGCTGCTTCATTTAGTAAAATCTTGTGGTTTTGTATTGTTGTACACCACTGCTCAATTTGCACCAGTGCAAAAAACTACATTTCAGTCATTTCGTCTGTTAAGTTTCTCAAGCTTGATGTGTGTTACCGAAGTTTGTTGTACATGTGTGTGTGTGTGTGTGTGTGTGTGTGTGAGTTTGTGTGCTTCCCCATAAGGTTTCTTATAATCCAAGGCCACTCAATAGCACCACATGGCTCCATCCCATATCCAGGTTGCCATGGCTACCAGAGCCACTTATCACAGAGGGTCCCAGCAGATCAAACAGGTGTGCATCCTGACAATGTCGCTCCTCTACTGCTGTTGCTAGGAACCCTTGTTGCACAGCACTTACAGGTGCTTGTTGCCGACAGAGAAAAAGACAGGTTGGGATGCATAACCGCTGTCCTGATGATCTGGTCTCAACTTTTGATGCTTTTCAACCACAGAAATTAGGGTCTGAATTTAGTTCTGGAGCAGAATTACCCCTTGAAAATCCCCTGCTGAGGGGCTAGTACTTTTTTATGGCCAATAGACTTTGGGAGGCAGGATTGAATGATCTCATTTATATCAAAATAACAGGTTAATTATTTCGATAAAAAATGTTAGTAGCAAGACATACACAAATCCTGATTACATCTAATCAGCAAAACTATGTTTTTAGTTTTACTGATTACCCTGATGTTCAGGCCCCCTGGTGGAAACACAGACAACAGTAGACAGCAGGAACCATTAAGTTCCTGTATGAGAAGCCCCTGGAACAAAAAGTTTCAGGTGCTTTTGGTCAAAAAGCACCTTGTGTAAATTTTTAATAACTGTGTGTGCGTGCGTGTGTGTGGTGTAATTTTTGCCCTTGTGAGAAACAACAATACTCTTCAGTACCTCTAAAGTAGGATGATATTTGTTGTAATGATTGGGATTTTTAGATGGGATTGGTGTTTGTTTCAGAGGTTTAGAGAAAAGGTGGTGTGAGAGTCTTTTTTTCCCTACATAACATGGCTACTCTGGATTCTTAGGGCATTTAGTGCCTGTCAGAGATGCAGTGCAGGGTGGTGCATCCTGCACTGTACTTTTTAAGTGCAGTGCAGCCTGGTGCACAGCCAATTTGGTATTTTTGTAGACTGAGGTGCACTGAGGCGCCCAAAGCTGGGCATGGCGGCAGTAGAGAAAGGTGTTGATGGAATCAGCTGGCGCAGTGACATTTTTTTGACCTGTCGCCAGCGAGGCAAGAAAACAGAGCCCTTAGTGTTGTAGTCCACAAAGGCCAGAGGCCAGGATGTGGTGTCTCCTTGTCCTTTGCCCAAGAAAAGTTTAAAAATAACCAGATCCTCAGGTGTCTGCCTCCTACTTGACACTCCTCACATTTCTACTTCCTTCTGAAGATTCATTTAAGATGGTTAAGAAAGAACCGGTGGAAATGCTCGAGACCAAGCTGGAGAAGAATAGATTTTTTTAAATTGTAAGCCCTGTAAGAGTTCTTTCACTGGCAGACTCTGCCTGTTCACCAATCCTCCCAAACCATTTCTCTACCTAATGCTGTCGATAGCACCACCATCCTTCTCTTTCACCTCTTAATCTGCTGTTAACCACAGCACCTTTCTTCTCCATCACCTTACCTTGCCCCACATGTAGCTTGGTCTCCTGCCTACCTCTCTATTGCAAACTTAAGAACTATATATATAGAGAGTTTTACTAGTGTAGCCAAACAGATTGGCACGAAGAAAAGAGGACCTAATGGTGTTACAAAAATATATAAAAGAAAAACAAGGAATGAGGCAGAAGTAAGACACCAAATTAAAGGAAAAGAGTCTTTTGACCATAAGATCTTGAATAGAAAAGAAAATACAAGACAAATCGAACAAAATCATGATCAAAAGAACAGAACAAAACAAGAAAACAAAGACGAAACAAAAATAAAAGAACACAACACATTATGGTTGAGTCCTGCCATATACTGTACATTGCATAGAAATGATTTAAGGAGGAGCATGTACAGAATGTGGATACAAGGATGCAGCAAACACCATGATTCTTACAGTTAGGTCTTGTCTAGCAACATTCAAATCTAAAGCCAATGTTTACCTTTACCTGAGCCATCTCCATAAGTATAAAACACACGTATCCTCAAGGCCAGCATATCCAAAAGGAGTTGTGGCTTCTTTCTGTGTGTGAGCAGTGTTCTCCTAAAGCTAATAACCAATTTACAAAATAATTAATATCATCAGAGCTGGTCTTGTCCAGTCCACAAGTGTCCTCCACAGATCACTATTGACACCTAAGTTGCAGCCCAGGCTGTTCCTTCACACAGACAGGGGAACGGCAATGTGTTTTCAGAACAGTTACACCTGCAGCTGATCTAATTTTGCACTTCTCGACTGGAGTTTTATCAGGTTGTAGTCTGCAGCTTGTAGTTAAATGAGACTAAATGAAATCTTTTAAAAAAGACTCTCTCTCTGTCATTCATCGTCCACTGCACTGATTTCATTCTCCATGGTCTCCACTTCTCCATGGTCTCCCTTCACCCTTGCCGTATGTGCCTCAATGTGGCTTTAATCCCAATATAGCACCTTTTCCCTTTTTCTCGCAACCTTTCCCCCATTCCTCACACCTTTCTAACACCATTTGCCTCACCTTTCCCCCTTAACATGACCACCCCCCACCCCCCGCCTCTGTTTTTTCCACATACTCTCCCCAACTCTCCACATCTCTGTCTCCCCTTCTTTCCCCATTACAAGCAGAAGTGGTCTATCTGTTCTCCTTTTTCTCCCTCCCAGTGAATCTCTTAACTGTAACTGGAGATCAGAAGGCTCTTTGATTCTCTTTTTTGTTTCTTGCCTAAGGGTCAAATATTCATGTTCTTTAAGACAGTTAATATGCTGGTTTATCAAATACATATATCTGACTTTTTAGAGACAATGAGAGGGAATTTGGCCACCACACTGAAAGTCCAGACCACGGAACCATTGTTTTTTAACATCAGTATTGAAGCCTTATTACAACCATAAAAACAAGTCTGATTGAGGGCATTGTAGGTGCCTTTGTTTTATCTAGGCCCTAACTTTAACTTAATATGTCATAGGCTTCAAAACAGGTTGTTGTGACGTCTCTTCATTATGGCTCTAACGAGATTAGCCAGAATGCAAGTGACATTTAGCCCCTTTTGAATTCATTTACTGCTTTGCACCAATGCAACGGTTGAAACAAATGTGCAATATGTTCAGCAAAATCAAAACAGAGCAATTTTATATCCTGACAATCTACAATGGGATCACAATATGACTTTGGTCATCTTTGACTGAAAGCTTTTATCTGTCTAAAAGCTTGCAAAAGCAGACTCACTTTGTCTGTCTGCTGTAGGTTTTTTCTCAAAGGGAGAGTTAAGCTCTAAAATCTTAGTGCCTGGGTTTGTTAAACCAAATGAAGTTTATAAACTAAATTTGATAGTGAAAACTCTTTTTACAGATGATTTAATCCTGCTAAAGTCAGAAGGCAGAAAGTGTTGTCTCTAAAGTCTCTTTCTCAGACAACTGATTTTCCTCTTTAAACCTTCTTTCCTCAATTTTGATGTTACTGTAATCACAACATCAAAGCAGGCAATTTCAAACACACTTTCATCGTTTTCGACTACAACTTAAAACCGTCTGTATGTGAGGACGTTCCACAATAGGCAAACTATGGCCTGCACTGATGAAACTTCAGGGACAATAGGATTTTCTTTTTTGTCTATTTAATAAGGTTAATCAATTTGTGTCCCAATTTGGAGCCTGTTTTCCAAAATAGAAAGAGATATTAATTATTGTCGTACCTATTTAAGTAAGCCTGTGGCCAAAAAAAAAATGCATAATTGGTAGGCCTTTTAATTTAACATTTATTTGTTGAAATGTACTGTGGCAATTTTGATACCAATATAAATTGTCTTGAAAATTACAAATCATAATGATGCTGGTGGCCAGAGGACAGAGAAATCTGTTCTGTCACAGTACGAATAATGAAAATGTGTCATCTTGGATGAGGATTGCAGACGCACACTGCTCTTCAGAGAATTCCATTTTCTACTTCTCTGACAGACGTGGAGGGGGAGCAGAACACATGTACCTCCCCCTCACATACACCAATTACTGCAATGAGCAAATGAAAGGTTGGGTCCCATCAGGGCCACCATAGGGGGTAGACAGAGAGAGGGAAATGCTGCTAGAAGAGGGGGAGTTAAACATAATTGCCCCCTCCACCCATCACCACCAGCCTCATACATGGACATACATACATAGCAACAATCATCTTCTGTCGTGATTTCTGTTGATAATCTCAGAATTTCACAGCAGATGAGCTCCTCCCGTCATATTTGTGCTCTTTTCCCGTGTTGCCCTTCATTTCACGTCTCCATAGCTCCTTCATTCCACACAGATTTTCCTCTCTTCTCCTCATCAGCTGTCACAATGCACAGTGACATTTTTACTGCCTCACTTTGTTTTTACAATAGTAGCAGTCATTAATATGTAGATAGTCTGTCAGGTCGATCAGAACTATTTGTAGCAAAAAATACAAAAATGTTAGCCAACGAATCATTGGCTGGTTCTTTAAATTATAAGTTAATGTGAGAGTCCATATATCAGTGAAACACAGCTAAAATATATCTGTAATGTTAATTTTTATCATCTTGAGGGAATCCTTAATGACTGTCTGTCTTATTTTTTAAGTACAAGATCAGTCATAAACTGAAGGCACTAAAAATGAATTTTAAGTTTCAGTCTTCCATCATATTTGTAGGCGATCTGTATATCGTACCTATGTCCTAAGTAAAACCTGTCTCCAAATCTGAAAGCCGTGAAGTCCCTTGACTGTTCTCATTGCACTCAGCAGCAGTTTGGTTTCTTCTCAGGCTAATTGAAGTCAACCACAGGGCACGGCTAATGATCAGCCTGCACTGACCCTTGATAGTCTGTCATCTTCCTGTCAGCACAGGGAGCTAAAAAGAGAGGTAAAAAGAAACAGAATTTGGAGAGGAGAATAGGGCATGTGAAAGAAGTGGCAGCTGGGTGGGGTGTGAAAAAAGAACAAATGACCCAGGTGATGCAATGATCACCATGCTGTGTAGGAAGTAGGCATGACCGGCTCTGCTCACTTCCGCCCAGTGACCATTATCCCCCTCCCTTAGGCTCCAAATTCACTAACACAGAATTAAATCGAACAGGTGGAGTGAGAGCAAGGGTGGGGGGCAGGATTTACAGATGAGGTGAGAGAGAGAGAGAGGGGGGGGGGGGGGGGGTAGAAATGGAAGGAAATAAAAAAAAGTATTGGAAGAGAAGAGATCGGAAAATGGGGACGTGGCTTAGAAAAAGAAAATAAAGAAAAGTAAGGGAAATGGTATTAATATGAAGAATACAAGAAATAGACAAAGAAATTTGAGAAAAATAGATAATAAATAAAGAGTGAATAAATGAGCAGCAGAAACCTGCAATGAAGGGACAAAAGAGTGAAGGGGAAGAAAGACAGTAGAAACAAAAGGAAAGGAAACAGGGAGGATCATATGGATTTGTGCAGAATTGTCCTCAATAATCAATTTAGTTTTATTTCACTTGTGAAATCTTAACAAATCACTACTTTGAGCTTTGGTTTCAACAAACTAGGGGATTTTAAAGAAACTAGTTTCAGCCAGAAAAAGGTTTGTGCAACATGAGCGTGTAATTTTAGACACCACCAATTTTAGTGAAAAAGACCTTATTTGGAAAAAAAGAAAAAGAAAGAAAGAAAGAAAGAAAATATTGGCAGATTTTAGGAAATTTACACCAATTATGATGCCGAAAGTGATCTTGAAAATTTTCTAAATTAAAGCATAGAGATTTCCAACTAAACACAATGTTTTGCTCAAAAGTCAGCATTCTGAAAAACAAACACAATTATTTTCAATGTTGCTGTTTTTTTTTATTTTATTCTCAGAAAATAGATTTTTTTAAGGCAAAGAAATGCATCAAAAGAAAGTAAAGGGCTACAGTTCTCATATAAAGAAATGCATTTTATTGTTGTTCCATTTGTTTTTATCAGTATTTAAGAATAGGCATTAATATTTAAATGACAATGTTCCTGTCAATAAGCTGAGAAAATCTAGTTTTTTGAGGAAAAAAATGTATATTTATCATTGTAATGTAAATGTTATTTCAAAGCAGAAAATTGATGGGCTTCCTACACTTTTGTAGTAATTTGAGATGCTAACACTGGTTGCATGATTTAAGAAAACACTATTTTGTGAATTCATGATCTGCATCAGACTGTTTGGAGGGTCTCTGTGTGCCCGTTTGATCCTGAGGCAGCTGTGCTGTCATACGCTTTAGGCTTGGCCTACAGTTCTGACACTTTTAACAACCTTTGTTCACTTTTCCTTTCGTTTCTGTCTGTAAACAGCTCTTCCTGTGTTTGTTCTGACCTAGTTTGGGAAATTTAAGGAGTATAAAACCAGCGCTTTACGCATAGATCCATTTTGTGTCTCATCCTGATCAGACGGAGGATGGAGACGGCATAGTGTACGTTGTTATACTACGAATAAGCAAATACATAGCCGTGGAGCCCTCATAATAAAAACATATGGGTCTCTATTTCTGTGTCTCGCCGGCGGCATAAGTCAGGTCCATTGTGTTGATGTGCCCATGCACACTTTGGTGAGCGCGCAACCTGACGCAAGTACACCTCTACATTTCTGCTCTTCCCAGTGGTGCAAAGTAGGAAAGAGGGAGGGGAGAAGTCGTTAAGTGGGTTTAACACAGACGAGTCCAGTTTTCACCAAACTCATGCTTCTCTCATCACCTTTGAATGCACCACTGGCAAGGTGTATTGCAAAATGAAACAGGCCTAGTCACAGAGATGGCTAAGACCGCACTGCCAGATGATAGTGACCGGAGGCAGCCCCCAAACAAGCGTCATCCGAAGCGCTGTGGAGGGCGTCCTCCACACTCTCAAAAAAGCACAGAGGGATCTGGTGTGCGCAAGGTTGGACCCACTGGTAAGACAAACATCCTTTTCCACAAATAAAGACAATCACAACAAGTTGCATACATTTGAACCTCACGTGACAAAGGTGGGTCATGCAAACAGATCATAACATAAACAAATGCCATGCATAACAGCATTAAAATCGGAACCACCTGTGAGTAAAAGACATCACACTTGGTGGCCTGGCTTTTTCTTCACACTAATTTTGGTATGTGAAATTACCTTGGCTCACGCAGCTGAATATCATAATGTTGGCATGTAGGCCTAACTCCAGATTGAATATTTTCAGAATTTAAGGATGTAAAACATTAGATGAACTGTTTGTTTTGCATGAAAGCTTCTTTCATTATTTTGTTCACATTTTTGAAGTAAACAACTTGTTTGATCACTACAATAAATCATCTGGTCAGCCTTGGCAGCCTACCCACAGCAGCAGGACAGGGAGAGGACATGAAGACATGTCCGAGTCTGCCCCCAAATGAATTAAATATCTTAACTCCATCATATATGACTCTTCATTGGATATTTAATTTAATGTGTTAATTCGGACAGCGCCAAACACGCTTACTGGATAAGATATACATCAGAATATATTGATAGATCTAAATGTGTGTGCTGAGATATTGGCACTGAATATTAGTTGTTGTTGATTATTTATTGCACTGAAATGTGCCTGAAACTGTGGAAACCTGCCTGTGAGATCTTGGTGACGTGTGCACACTGCTGCGCCGCTCTACCAAAATACCATCTGACCAGCTGTGCTCTGCCTACACCGAGAGCTGACTAGGTTTAAATCAACTAGCCCACAGCGCACTCTCCGCTCCGCTGGCGGGCACAAAAATGTCACCGCGCCAGCTGATTCTGTCAACAATTCCACCTACTGCGATGCCATGCTCAGCTTGCACATACAACATACAATTGGATACAATGGCCAATCAGTGCTCGAATTGCTACGACCATTTTGTCCGGCAGCTACCAGAAATTGACCAATCAATGGACAGTGGGGATGGAAAGCTGTTCAAAGGGATATTCCGGTGTAAATTTAATCCGTGGTCACCATAGCACCTAGTCAGTCTCGCCTCGAGAGATTAATTTTTGCGGACTTCCTGCTTCTCTAGTTCCATCAACTTCAGCAACTACCTTACAATAGCAATACGCAACAGTCTACGTCTCCACGCACAAACCTCAACCAAAAAGCCACTCTATAGCCACAAATAATGCTCAGAACAGCACGTAACTTCATCAACAGTACATATAGGGTCCCAGCCATAGTACTAGCCATCAAACATCTTTTTAGCTTTGCGTGATTTCTTTAGCAAAGAGACTAAACACAACTCACCCACTCTCCTCCAGCAGCTGCTTGTTTGTGGGGGATGACGAGTCGATCACCAAGTGCTGCGGATCATTTCCTTGAAGTAATAACCATCATAATAATCATTTTGCACTGCAGACGTGGCAGTACTAATATCTTAGCATCTCGCTCTGATTGCATTCCCATAAGGTGATAATCATAAATGTTCTTCCTTGAGCTGCAAAACTCTGCTGCACTCAGTGATCAACTCGTCAGGGCTCCCCCACAAACAAGCGACTGCTGGAGGAGAGTGGGTGAGTTGTGTTTGGTCACTTTGCTGAAGAAACCAGGCAAAGCTAAAAATATGTTTGGTGGCTAGTACTATGGCCAGGACCCTATATGTACTGTTGATGAAGTTCTGAGCATTATTTGTGGCTATAGAGTGGAGTTTTGGTTGAGGTTTGTGTATGAAGACATAGACCACTATGTATTGCTATTGTGCGGTCGTTGCTAAAGTTGGTATAACCAGAGAAGCAAGCAGTCAGCAAAATTAATCTCTGGAGGGGGTGTCTAACTTGGTGTTACGGTATGTTTGACCATGGCTTAAACTTACACTGGAATATTCCTCTAAGGATGCAGGCAATTTGGAGAATTTGTTTATTTAATTTATCCCGATTCATTTTCAGCATTTTCAAAGTAAGTATATTCTTTTTGGCTAGCCACTGTCTATTTACATTTTTATATGAACATTTTTAAGAATAGCCTCGCGCTTAGTGACTTGGTAGCTACATGTTTATTTACCAATGCTGCATAAAAATACAGCCAAATTTACTTTTAGTCAATAATGCATAAGTCACTTTATTGTTGGCATATCTGACAAACAGACCAGATTGTTCAAGGCATTTTCAAGCTGTTGAGTTGCTTCAATGAATAAGCTGAACGAACAGGTATCTGGTTAAGTTAACAGTACAGTAACTTTATCGTCCAAATTTCGTATTTCACTTTATTTGGATGTCATCATATTGTTAGATATAGCACTTTTAATATAAACCACTGCATGAATAACTACTTTACAAGGCATAAATAGTAGCCTACTCGTATTGAAATTGTTTTGTTCTTTTTCAAATATGATAGCATTTATCCTCTCATTATTGCCTGAATTAATGTGTTCATAAAATTGTACCCATTTGATGACAGCTCTGTAACTTACACGTGTTTCTCTGTTTTCTTAACATTTCCCTTTAAAAAAAAATCTAGACGGAACCTCACCTTAGGAGGCATGCTGATGGCAGCATTGACCTGACTGACACTATGGAGGCTGTCAGTGTAAAGGCCGCAAACAAGGGGAAGCCATGGGCTTCACTGGAGTCTTTTTACCTGCACTTTTTAACTAAACGGATTCATCTCTGGTAAATGCAAGAATCATACAGAAGTGATTTTGTTGAAATATTAAAATATGATAAATATTCATTGAATATTTATACTTATTATGGGACAATTTAATTGTAGAATGATCTGTTTAGTCTCAGCCTGTAGTATTGGATGGAAAATGTAATGCAGAATATTTAAGTTTTTCATGTCGCCCCAATGGATGCGTCACCAGCAGAAAACATTTGTCAAACATCATATGACTCCACTTCACACAATATAAGGATCCATTCCTATACAAATGTTAATTTTATCTCTTTTCAAACAAGACCTAGGTTATGTTTATTTTTGCTACCCTAAGTTCTAAAACAATATCTTATTTTAAGATTATGTTGGACCTGACAACATGAAGGTGTATGGAGTAGTGCATGACCTGGCAGATTTTTTGGTTGGCCTCAGGGACCACCGTGTAGCTTTGAGTGGAGCAGAGAGTGCCCAGATCATCTCCCAGTGGCAGGCATTGCGGGAGTGTGATAAGAGGAAAACTGTTTATCCACCAAGTCATCAAACCACCCCCAACCAGGGACGTTTCAGGGCCATAAAGAAAATTGTGGCACGAGGTGTGGAGATCACCCAAAGGTGTGTTAAATAAAGGAAACGCAGGGTCTTTATTGTTTGACTTGAAAAAACAAATGAAAAAAAAAAAAGACAAAAAAAAAACCCTACTGTTTGCTGAAGGGTTCGTGCTTTATTTATTACTTTACTTTTTCTTTTTTCATGAACATATAGAAGATGTACTAGAAACAAGTCACACAATATTTGTTTGAATCAGGGGACACAAGTGGATATGGTAAAGAAAAGGTTTATTATGGCGGATGATACATAATAAATTAGTGTTCTTAAGGTCAGTCATTTGCAGTGTGGGGGTAGTACCCAAAAAAATATATATATTACACATTGCTAGTTCCTGACAGTCTTCTGCTTAAGATGTATCTTACACAACCTAACAGTACCGTAAAAGGAAACAGGAAAGGGAGCTCACTGGAACTGTTACTAATTTTTAATTGTATTCATTATTCTTTGTCCCATTCTATTATTATTTTTGTTACTTATGCTATTGTCATTTATGTCACTGTTATCATTTTTGTTGCTGTTGCTTTAATTAGTGTTGTAGGAGCAGCAGCACTTGTATTTATTATTATTTTTGTGTGTATTCTTATTATTTTTCTATGTTTTCCTATAATTGGTATTGTTGCAGATTAAAGTGTTGTTTTTCGAGTACTATTATAGTGTTATTTAAATGGTTATTGATGTTATTATTTTTCTTATTATTGTTACAATTGGTTTCATTTGCATTAAATAATATAAAATTGGTTAATGTTTTTGTGTTTTGACTTTTTCTAATCAGAATCAGAATGCTTTGTTTATCTCCGGGGGAAATTTGGTCATTACAGCATTACACCTGCTCTTAAAAATATGAATATGAGTAGGAATATAGAAATGGAGATTTGTTATAATAAATAATAAATCTCAATGCTTGACTTCTTCTTTGTCTTTATGTCAGATAAACTAACTCACGAAAAAAATGACCATCTTTAATGTATACTAAATACACATTCAATGCATGAATGAATAACAAATATCATCACGTAATTCAATTTTGCAGTAGACATTAATGCATGTAGTCAGAGAAGCACAGGACTCAAACCTTCGGTCTCTGGTTGAATGGTCATATATAAGGATGGTCTAGAGTCAAGACTAATGTGCACAGTCTTTGGCGCATCTTGGTGCCTCAGTGTATGAAAATACCAAATTGGCGGTGCACCGGGCTGCACTGCACTAAAATACCAGGCTGTGCTGCACAGCACAGGGTGCGCCACCCTGTGCCGTGCCACTGGTGGGCACGAAAATAGAACCCATGGTCTGTCTGACTTTTTGCTAAATCAGCAGTATGTATCCCTTTCTTATCTGCACCTGCACCCATCTCAGGAAAGGTACATCTCAGCGTTATCCGTCATGTTGTAATGAAAACGCGGATTGACAGAATATCTCGTCAGTGGTGGGGAAATATGTAAATATGATGGGTGAGTTGAGACAGTACACCAAATATGAGTTGAGTGAGAGAAGGAGAAGAGTTGCAGGTGTGCCAGTATATTCTGGGGATTCAAAAGAGAGCATAAGTACCTGCAAAATATACAGTCAGTAATCAATAAAAAAAGCCTGCAGTATTGTTTAAAATTATTGTTGCTCTGACATGAGACAGTGAGAACTATCGTGAGAACTAACTATAAACCTTACACGTCAGATGAGATTTATGGCTCTTTGAAGGGAGCTGGATCTTGAGGAGCAGTTCCATTCAAAGAGTCGTTCAAAAGACTGGCTCATTGCTATATTTATTTATTAGGAGTCAACCATGGGTGGGAAAAATTCCGGAAGATTGATTACAATTTCATTTGACTTGTGTTTTCATCGTAAATATTTCAAACTGTGGTGCCATATCCCCATGCTTTGACAGGGAGATCACTTTTTGGAATTTTTTTCCTCACCTTAAAAAACTTTGTGGCACAAAAAAAAAAAAAAAAATTTTTCATTTGAGAACGGCTCACCACTATGAATCAGTCCTCATTTTTCACTTAAAAGAGCCGTTCAAATGACTGACTCGTTCATGAACATAACTTCTCTACTTTAGACAGTATATAGTATACATAGGGTTCTGTCCTCTGTTGTGTCTCTGAGATACTGTCACTCTGTCTATATGAACTGGAAATGGAATTACAATGCACTCTTTTAACAACAGAGAGCTTCTTTTTTTAACATGTCATTAACATTAAATCGTATATCTGAAATCATTGTTATTAACATAATGATTTGATCAGCTTACCGTGCATGTAAAGGGAAATCATTCGCACTGGATATGAATCTACATTTTTTGATATTTCACTGGCTGGCCTTGACAACCTAATTGAACATTAGTCTAAAGAACATTGCCAGAGGAGAAATGACGGCATGCCATCCTTGAGCACTCTGTCAGTTTCATTGTGAACACTACTGTCTTCTCCCTGTTATTTCCCTCTTTGGCTTCGATTGAAAGGACCTTCATTCCAAAGTGAAGAGCATAATTTAGTCTGCTCTAATGACACAGAACTATTCAGCAGGCTGCCCATAATTGTATGACCAGGGCTGGGAGGATAATAGCCCCTCACCCTCACCCTCACCCTCTGAGCTTTTGTCCTGCACATTTAGTGGCCTAAGATCTCAAAATAATTAAAAGAAATCTTTGAGAACAGACAAAACTAAAGCCACTAAGTTACATATTTACATTGCCTATGGTAAATCCATTATCAATCAATATTTTCATTGAAGCTATGAAGCTAAATCCTTATTCTGTGTGTGTGTGTGTGTGTGTGTGTGTGTGTGTGTGTGTGTGTGTGTGTGTGTGTGTGTGTGTGTGTGTGTGTGTGTGTGTGTGTGTGTGTGTGTGTGTGCGTTTGTAGGGGGGAGCGTGTCCTTGTGTGGCTATCTTTAATGTTCCTTGCCTAATTTCTGTAAGTCAGATGCTCATATTGGACGTTAATGAGTACTCAGAAGGGTACATCTTGCCTGTCAGAGGAAGAGAGAGCAGGGAAATAGAGAACGAAGAGAAAATGGTGCTGGTCTAATGAACTTACAGCCTGCTGCACACTGTCACTCTCCTGCTTAATGCTGTGACCAAGACAACACAGCCACATTGTTGCTCCTGCTTTGTGTGCTATAACCCAGGCAGCCAGCATCCTATTGAGAATCAACAGCTCCTGTAACTTAAACTTGGTGGTAGTGCTGGCAAGCCAAGGCGGCTGCCATTCTAAGTATTGTTAGCTTTGACAGCAGCCTCTGACGAGGGCATTGTGAAGAGAGCAACAGCAGACATGACGTAGTGTAATGTGGAGGCTGTACAAGTTCACCAAGAGATGATAAAGATTTCTACTGAAAGCCCCAGCAGCTATAAAAGAAGAGTTAAGTAAGGTCCAGCTGAATAAAGAGAACAGAGGCCATATACTAGATAGTTTGAGAATCTGGAAGTGCAAGTACTAAGTTTTTATCTTGTCAAATGTTCACCCATAAATTTGTTGTGTTTTATTCAGCCCTTAGTTTGGTAAGTAATTACCTCCGTCAAGGAGGTTATGTTTCCGGTAGTGTTGGTTTGTTTGTTTGTTTGTTTGTCTGTGAGCAACTTTACGGAGAAAGTAACAGACGGATTGACCTGAAATTTTCACCAGAGGTGCGTCTCAGCCCCAGGAGGATCCCATTACATTTTGGTGGTGATCCGGATCGCCTTCTGGATCCAGGAATTTTTTGAAGGATTCTTTATCATTGTGAGATAGGGCAAATTTTGGAATTTTTGCATTTAACTCTATAAAAATGTCCAGAGTCTTTAGTAAAAAATGACACAAAAGGATCTCAATGAGTTTTATGAGGTGTCAAAGGTTGATCCTGATCCAGACAAAATTCCGGATACTGTGATCCAGAACACACAAAAATAAGGGTGTTGTTGGAATTTTCAATGCTGAAAGATAACCAATGGGCGGCACAGTGGTGTAGATAGGTGGCACATTGGTGTAGTGGTTAGCACTGTCGCCTCACAGCCAGAAGCTCCTGGGTTCGAATCTGGGTCAGGGCATTTCTTGTTTTAGGAACATTATAAACAGTGAACATACCAGTTTAAACACAAATAAAAGTTAATAAAAGACACGTAACAGTGAAAGTTTTGGTGTGAATCACAATATAAGGGGGGGACATGAGCTGCTTGGTGGAGGTCTGCGCTCTCCAAGTGCTTTTCTAGTTCTATCATGTATTTGATGCCTGCTTAACTTCCATGCTTAAAATGTTGGCAAATCACAGTCAACTTCAATGTTTTAGATGACTTCTTAATACCTGCGAAAACCATTGTTAAAGCAAGGATAACTATGGTGCAGTCGCCTTGGTGTCCTTTAGATCAAATCAAATCAAACTTTATTTCTAAAGCATGATAATATGATCTGATAATAAAGCAACCTTTCCCATAACTTACACCCCCATTACAGCCATTTTTATAGAGTTAAATGCAAAAATTCCAAAATGTGCCCTATCGCACAATGATAAAGAATTCTTCAAAAATTCCTGGATCCAGAAGGTGATCCGGATCACCACCAAAATGTAAAGGGATCCTCCTGGGGCTGAGACGCACCTCTGGTGAATATTTCAGGTCAATCTGTCTGTTACTTTCTCCGTAAAGTTGTTCACAGACAAACAAACTAACAAACAAACCAACGCTACCGAAAACATAACCTCCTTGGCGAAGGTAACAACATCTCAACACCAGGGCCTCTGTCACACCTCCAATACCTCAGGCTTTTTTTTTTCATATTTTGACAGAAAGGAAACAGTCTCTTTGGGCCTGATCTACTAAGATCCCAAATAGCAAACGCTAAATTGTGTGTGCCAACTGAAAAAATGCACATACTATTAGTGGGCCTGTTGCCGGTGATCTATAATTGTGTGCGCAGTTGATAACAGGAGCATTAGTGGTGCGGACTGCCCTCTTTATACGAGGACTTTGCGTGCGCTATCGGCCGTCACCATGGAGAGTTTGTGAGAGCAGAGTGATCGTAGATGAAAAATGAAGCTTGAACCCATGGAGTTGCACCTATCATTTTAGGGAAGCCAGCAACTGCATAAAAGGCAAGGGAAGTTTATTTGTATAGCACCATTTATACACAAGGCCATTCAAAGTGCTTTACAGATGCAAGAAAAAATATATCTGAAATAAAAAAAAAAGAGATTCAAACAATTTAAAATCAATAAGACAGAGATACATTTTTGCGACTGTTTCGTGTTTGACCTAATTCTTTATCAAAACCATCATTTACTAGAAGAACACTTTTGTAATGTTGCCTCCTTCTCCCAACAATGACTTCAGTCATTTATGTGTAACGCTGTGCCAGTTTGCACGTGCCTTTCAAACGTGCTAAATATAGACGCAAAACAGTGACCGCTATCGGTTTCCGGGTTTGATAAATCACATTGCAGTTGGTAAATGATGCCATTTGCATCTGCTCCTCCCAGAATTTTGCATAGTCTGATTATCTACATACAATCTGCATATTTATGAAGGCAAACACACTAAAGGGATAGTGCGTGCTGTTTTGCTCATTTGACAGACGCAATCCTCGGTGCACCAGGTTAGTAGATCAGCTTTGCACGTGTTTTTGCACATGCAAACCTCTAGTAGATCAGGCCCTATGTATTTATGGATTTTTTGGACCTTATTAATTTCAGGACTAAAGAAAAGAAAAACAAAATGATCACTAATCGACTAGAAGCTCTAGAGCACATGGAGGAATAAAGAAAAAAAACATGTAGCTTGTAGGAACATTTCATTTTAGGTTTTGGTCTTTTCTTTATACTTGCTGACTGAAAGAGTCAAGTTAAAATGAAGGCTGCACAGAAATGCTTATAAAATGCAAAAGTGATCTTTGAAAAAAAAAAGGGGGGGGGTTCAGGACATTCAGAGTCGAAACAAGAAAGTTCACACCAAGGATGTGAAAATCAATTGAAGCAGGAAACAAGGAATTATCACTTTTTGTCTAAAACGGTGTTCCTGTTGGAAACTGTAATTTCTCAGTAATCACATGCTTTTAAGCTTTGAAACACCAGGTTGGCTGATTTTTTTTTTCATCTTATTCTCTCACAGTCCTCTCGGGTATATTTTAACATGCAAACCACAGAATTACATTATAATAATCTGCCATTTCAGACATCAATTATCCTGTTACATGTTGATTTCCATGTTAAAGCTCCTGCAAAGAACTTTCAGTACTGTATGTGAAGATTGTGATTTTCCTCTCCAGACAAACAGGGCTTGTTTGACTCTTTCCTTGTTCCACAGCTGTTTCTGTACATGCACAAGTGTTTTAGTCTTTTTTTTTTTCAAAATTCACATCCTGTCTTTTTTCTTATTTAAATTCATTAGTGGTCATCATGAGTCTTAGTTGTAGGTATTTAATAAAAAAAGGAGCCGGTTGTTATCACTTTACCTGATATTTATTTGGTGGCGGCAGAAACGACTCATTAGAAGTAATAAGTCTGTATATTTACTTGCTGAGTAGATTATAAACAGGCATCACAGCTGATTTGATTTAGTCTTTTTATTATAAGCTCTGACCACAAAGGACTGACAAATCTATGACAGGGTGAGTTTCTGGTTTGCAAAGTTTCCCTTCAGCTCTTGTTAACAACTAGTTTTTAGAACACCAATCACAACCTTGACGGGCTTTACAATGAAAAATGATGTAGACCTGTAGACCTAACAAGGACCTGAAAGATCAGGGAAATTAACAGAGAGGCAGTGAACCTCTGGAGAGATGAAAGTAAAGTATATGTGCTGTGTGTGTGTGTGTGTGTGTGTGTGTGCGTGCGTGCGTGCGTGCGTGTGCGTGCGTGCGTTTGTTCTTGTCCATTTTTAGGTCATAAGAGCTCTTATACCCGAGCAGTAAAACACAGAGAGCAATGCTCCATGACCCTGCCGGTCATTTAATCTACCTCCAAATGTCACAGCATCACAGACCTTTGTTGAGATCAGCAAGCTGGGGCACCCTGTGTGTGTGTGTGTGTGTGTGTGTGTGTGTGTGTGTGTGTGTGTGTGTGTGTGTGTGTGTGTGTGTGTGTGTGTGTGTGTGTGTGTGTGTGTGTGTGTGTGTGAGCAAGAGAGAGGGGAATAGAGATTTTTTTTTCTCTTCTTGTAGCAGTTGCAGTAAAAATCATGAGCCGAACGAGATAGCCGTCATTAGACAAGTTGAAAGATCTTAGAAACGATGAGAGAGCAGGAATTTCAACGTGGCGTAGCCCCCAGTAGAAAAAAGAATCAACAGAGAATTATTCCAAGTCTCACACAAAGTCCATATCCTCAATACATTACAGACAAATCGGTTATGTTGTTGTTTTGTTGTCTTCTTCTTCTCAAGGACAATAATGAGGAGGGAGAGCCACGAGGGTCGGTGTGGTGCACAACCTTTACTTGCCATTAAAGACTAATAGAAACAGAAGAACAGCAGAGAGGTCAACACGGCTGAGGACAGAACAAAAAAACAGGACTGAGAAGAAACTGTAGGTGGGTTCCAGCAAAACAAGCCATTATCATTCATTTACTGGATATTTGTCATTCACAACACAACCTGCAGCCATTATACTGTTGAGATGTTTGACCTGAATAACAGGCAAATGCACAATATGAAAACAACTCACTGCTTCCTTCTTCTTTTATTAGTTTTTTTTTTCTTCCCTCCCCCGATACTTGACATATTCCTTCTTTGTCTTTTTTTGTACTGTGATTCCATCTCTCCCTCTTCATTCTTTCTCTCTTTTCAACTTTATTTCAATTTCTTTGTCTCACTCCTTCTCATTTTCCCCCTTTTTCCTCTCACTTTTTTCTTGCCATATCTTTGTCCCATCTTTCCTTTTCCTTTTTTATTTGCTGCAATTTTTCACATACCCCTTTTGGTCCTCTCTTTGTTTCATTTCTGTGTTTTCCTATTCATCACTCTTTTGCTTATTTCTCTTTATACTCTTTATTACTTTCTCTCAAAGACTCTTTTCCTCTCCCTTCCCTTCCTCACTTTTCGTTTCACCTTTCTTTCCCCTTCTCCACTTTCATCTTCTTTATCCTGCAGAGACCCAACTTTATTGGCAGAGCTTTAGAAAACCAATACCAGGAGATTAAACCTGTGTCCTTTTACTCTGCTGTTATTAAAACAGCTGCTTTGTCACAACTCCAGGGCTTTGTGTGTGTGTGTGTGTGTGTGTGTGTGTGTGTAGAGTAGCCATGTTCAAACTTGTGTATCTGTGTGTGATTGTATATGCTTTATTATTTTCACCCTAATCAGCAGCAGAAACTCTACAAGGTTTCTTTCTCTTTCTTTTTATGTACCGTTCTGTTTCATTTAGCTTTTCTTTTTTTTTTTCTTTTTTTTTACCACAAACCTACAAACCTGAGCGCCCTTATCATTGTGTTTTGAAAGGCCTTACCTACGATGGTAAGTCAGCTTTTATCCGCCAGCTGCTTTAACTCTTGAAGCTTTTGTCTGCAAATAAAACTGCTTTAATCTCAGCCATCCTTGATTTTTGAATTGAACTCTGATTTAACTTACAGGACTGTGTCACACAATCAGGGGGTCAGGGCTAAGAAGTCATAGGCTGTCAAACAAGTGTGACCTGTTGTGGAAGACTAGTGATTTTGTTGTTGTACATTTGTGATCTTGACAACAAGTCACAGTCTACCTCAGTGAGTCATACATCCTCAGCTGTTTTGTGTTTTTATTGACCCCCAGTGTTGTTCTCCTGCTCCAATGGATCTCCACTCGCCCAAACTCTTTGCCCAAAGAGGCATTTAACCATGGGTTGACCAGTATTGTTTTTAAATGCTAATGTAACTACAATTATCAGAAGTTCATGGAAAAACAGATATTTGCCGTAAAAATGAAAAACCTGCTATCAAATTTAAGAGTTTGAAATATTACAAACTCCAACACAACTTTGCTTGAAAGCTGTTTGCAGATGTTTAAAACGAAACGTTTGACATCATATACATGAGTAAACAATTTAACAGTTGTACTTACAGTACAGTTACATTACACCATCATCCAGCCAATCAGATAATGTAGTGGTGGGACGTAAAACAAGACAAAATTAGGGCAAGAAAATAGACCCAATAGGAAAAACCATGATGGCAGCAGAGCCAATTAAGCACACTTTGAATTGATTTATTATTTATTGGCCACCTGTAAAACAAGCATAAACACCAAAATGGCCTTGTGCCAAATATTGGTTGGGGCAGATAATTGATGCATCTGTCAAAGACACAGCAAGTAATCAGTAAAACTGACTCAAAATCAGTCCTGTTGAAGAAATTTAGAAAATTCAAACTCAAATTTCCACACAACCTTACTTCGGTATCTCCAGGCGTATGTTGACAACATCTGTGGTTCTGATGCATTTTCTTCCTCGGTCATGTCTTCTTATTCTTATTCTTCACTTTCTGTCTCCACCCCTCAGATGCAAAATCAAGTCAAGGAATTACTTTCTACCACTGCGCCCATCTGTCTGGTCTCCTGGGCAAAGGTCCTGTGTTATTTGGCTTTTTCATGGTAACCGGCAGCTTTGACTTTCATTTGGTTTTTTATCTGTTTAACTATCTGTCTATGAATTTCTTTATCTACATTATGGGAAAAAATTGATAAATTTCTTTAATTGTTTCTGTTTCTTGCAAAATGATTTGTATACATTTTCAAGTGAACCTGAAATAAAATGAGTGAATGTAGCCTGTTTGTGTGAGCTGATTAATGTTCTGTGCTCGGCATATTCCACCCCTATTGTACATCCCAGCCAGACTCCAACTGTGGCAATCAATTCAATCAGCAGCGTTTATGTACCCATTACAATCTCGCTGAAAGCAGGCGAGGCTTGCATCCTTTGACTGGCCTCAAAGTAATTACTGTACAGTTAAGCCAAAGCCATAGGAAGGATAGAAAGATGGAAGTCTGATAGAAGCAGGAAAAGAATGATTAAACATGTCTCTAATGACTCACTAGTGACTGTGAATATGCATTACAGCAGGTACAAAGTTATTTACACCCCAATTAGCCCTGCCTAAGAATGCTGTGACGGGTTGCTATGGTGACTATCATGAACCCCAGCAACCATGTTGAATGTTACATCCCAATTCTGAGTGAACAGAGGTCTTGCTGCACTGTGGGAAAGACTACAGCCTTGAGGGCATAATATATGCTGAAGGAAATTTATTGGCTAATGCACCATCATCCAGAGACGGCCTTCTGCTCTAACCTTGTGCACAGTTATCGGCTCAACTCTCGGTGAATGGAGGTAAGGTTTCCAATGAAATGGTCTGCAGCTTTATAATCACTAATCAGGCTTTCATTGTTTACTTTGTTTTCTTTTTAACCCCTTATCATGTGGCTTTATATTTGAAATGTGTTATTCACATTATGACAACAGCTGATAAAATCAGCTATGAAAGTGATGGGACTTAAAAACTACTCCTCTCTTCAGTCTGTTTTTGAGAGAGTCATGGTAAACCTGGCTCATAAAATCCTTAATGACTCAACCCATATCCTCCACTCTGATTATGAGTTTTTACCATCCAGGAGACGTAATATATAATTCACAACAAGCTCTCCTTCCTCCCAAGGTCCATCACACCCCTAAACAAGGCTGGGATCTAAATCTTTCTTATTTTACCAGAGCCTGAGTTTGACTTTTTTTTAAATTCTCTTTAATGGTTTTACCCTTTTCCTTTATTTTTTATTGCACTTCTGCGTTTTTATCTCATTCATACAGTCTTACATTTTTAGATTCCTTTATCAGCTCCTCCTGCTGTAATTATTTTCGCTCACTCGGTTCTTATTTGTCCTGGTTCTGGAAAGCACTTTGGCACTTTTTTAACCATTGATGTTACTTACGATTACTGTGTGATCGAAATCTCCTGAAATGTGCACTATGGTATACACTGTGAACATGCAATTGCTGTTATATCTGTCTTATTTGTGTGCATATATGCTATTCTATGTGTGTTTTATGTACTGCAGCAAATATAGCTCTACTGTCTAAGACAAATTTCCCGCAAGGGACAATGACGTCAATCTTGAATCTTACACCGAAATTAATATTGGCTTATTCAAACTCTACAATACGAGGAATGCAAATGCAAAAGTCTAGTACATCATCTTTATTTAAAATCACTCTGAAAATCAAAGATTATACTGGTATCACTGTTGTTTGTTACAGGTCAGCAGAGAATAAATGAAGGCGACAAATTGGATTAGTTACATGTTTGAATTCAAGAATATACAGTTTTTGCCAAAGTTAAATGACAGACTGAGTTACTACATTGTGAAAGTACTGAATCACGTGGGACAGAGACTGAAGCATTATATCTTTTTGCTTTAACTTTGTTAGTAATACACGCTGCTTCTTGTCATTCTGGGGTGTATTATACATATCAGATATTTGCATTGATTTATTGTGAGTTGATTTAAGGACCCCAGGAAGAATAGCTGAGACTCGGCCAAGGCTAATGGGGATCCCAGAAAATTCAATTCAAATCTCCAGTTTTAAGATATTAAGTTCTAACTAGTCTTGGAAGTGGACAAAGTTTTCTATCCTGCACGTGGACAACAACTCACCTGTATGTCCTTGTCCTTCATCCCCAGGAGGGAGAAAAGGGAGTATTGACGAGACAGAAGGCTCACGCCTGAGTGTCAGCAGCCGTCGTGTGGGTTTGCTGCACATGCTGTTCTTTCTGTATACTGTTGTTGACTGTTGTTGTTATACTGTGTGTGTGTGTGTATATATATATATATATATGTGTGTGTGTGTATATATATATATATGTATATGTATATATATATGTGTGTGTGTGTATGTGTGTATACACAGTATATATGTGTGAGTGTTAGCAAATCTACATATATTTATACACTAGTTTTATTAAAATGATGGAAAAGATTTTAATCTGACAGAAAATTGAGAAAACTTTGATATCATAATCATAATGGTTAGCCTACATGAAGAAGAACTTTATTGATCCTTGTTTGTTGTCTCACGTAATTTGTCTTAAAAAGTTATCTATTATTTACATAAGAGTTATAAATACGGTGTTATAATACAGAATAAGAGTATTAATACTTTAATTTAACTAATATTTTAATTAATAATTAAAATAAGAGTTATAAATACCGAACACCGTGATATCACAGTTTAACAGACATCATCACATGATCAGATCAACAAACAAACAAGTCCTCCCAGTCAAACTTAAAATCAATGCCACAAATAAATCTTCCTAGCAGTTTTAAATCTTGTTGGAAAAGTGGATCGCTTTTAGATCTTTATAAAGATGTAGTAATGGCTTTTGGCAAAAAATAACTTGGTTCATAAACAATCTTATTGGTTTAAACTTAGATCCGTGAGAAGAAAAACAGTGTTTTGGGTTTAAATTAGCCCCCCCCCCCCCCCAGCTTCTTCAAAGCCACCTAATAGTCATTTTGTGAAGAAAATATTGTAGATAAAACGTATGAAATTAGAGAGAGATGGACACACGGGTGTAACTACTGATGTTGTTGATAAACACAAATTGACTTTGTTGCAGTGAAGTCACACGCTCTTGTGTTGCACAATATTATTGAGCATTTAACCAATTTTTTAAAATCTCCTATCTGTATATCATCACAGAGAAACCACCACGCAATGTCTGGTAAAGATGTTAGCACACTATTAGCTCAGTCTCTGACCAAAGGTTCATCTGTTGCTACATTTTAATAACCGACTTCTATCATCGAGGTTCAGGCCTCAACCTGGTCTGTATGCAAGGGTAGTGAGATAACTCTGTTGATATTTTTGTGCTTTATGAATTAATGTGCTGATTGATTTTCTTTTTTTTAAATTTGCTTATCCATCTTTTCTACAGATCTGAAGGGAAGCAGAGATTTAATGTCAAATTCAATTCACGAGGATGCTTCTCTGTGGTGTGACACTATGCTTTTTCCAATTCTTCCTCTGCCCTCTACTGTCCAGTTTCTTTGTGACAGCAAAGCACCACTCAATAGATAAAAGGTTGACTTTATGTAAAAACAGGATACCCAGAATTCCCCTCAACTCTTTCCAAAATTAGCAAAGTCCCACTTTATTAAAGTGTGCTCAATTCTGACAGTTTGAGCATTTCTACTGGCCACTATTTCTTTGTCTACCATTTTTTAATTTATGAAGGTTGCTTGAGACTTGTTTAGGTTGTGACAGTGGTACTAGAGATTAAAATCTTTGAAGACAAATCACAAAACCTGAAACTTGAACATGTTTGCAAAGAACAGGCACAACAGCGAGCGGTGTGTTGGGGAACTGGGTAGTGTGCTTCATAAACCTTCTGACTGAGGAGCTTTAACACTTAAAGATGTAGTTTCATAATAACAGACTAGGCCTGCGCGATTTGGCAAAAAAAAAAGATCACAATATATTTTGTCATATTGTCCAATCTCGATTATTATCACGATTTTTTTTAAACTGCCAGTTTTAAAGCTTCTGTACTAAAACCTAAACAAACTAGAGATAAGTTCAACATTTTATTAACATACAAAGTAAATAACAAAGTAAATTGAATAAGATACACTGAGAAAGGTCTGAAATATGGGAGAGTCTCTGGATAAACAGGAGTGTTGGCAGGTATGGATATGATTGATCTCTGCTTTGGTCTGGTGGCTGTACCGCTAGTTGAGGCTAAAATGCTAATGCTACTCGTGCCGTCAGCAGTGGCAGGCTGTGCAGACTCAGCTCGCATTTTCATGCTTCCCGCATAATCACTCGGGAAGTACTTCTTCAAATGATTAAACAGATTTGTTATGTTGCCGGTTTATTGGCTTAGTTGCTCGACGCCCCTTTGGAAAGACGTTGAATAACTTCTCAACAATAACATCTTCGGAGGATGACTCAAAGTCATGGCTGACATCTATTTTGCTGCGTTTAGCTCCATGTTAGGTCATTCTGTTCATTTCTCCTGTTTCCTTCTCCAGTAACTTACAGAAGTGAGCCGGAACTCTGATTGGCTGTTGTGACGAACATTTCCGCCATGTTTAATTGAGTAAATATGCGCACAGCTGATCACCGTGATCGAACTAAAATTTATCGCGATCCTCGATCACGATCGTATAATCGCCCAGTCCTATAACAGACCTACTTAAACCAACAGATGCAATCTTGATCCATGGCAAAAGTACTATTATTAATGTCAGGCTGTGCTGTTTAGAGTCCAACGTCAGTCTGACCACGAGGGTAAATATAAAAGAGTAAAATGAGACAGGAAGAGAAGAAAACACAATACAAACATATGCTTATGGATGTATTTTAATAAAAATAATTCTGTCAAAATTAAACAGAATACAATATTTCTTTTTTTAAGATGTTTTTTAATACATAGTTTTTTCAATTATAGTTTTTCCTTATTTTTTTTTTTATTTTGTTTTACAAGTTTTAAAAGTCATGCTAAGTAGAGGGTAACTCAATTTACATTTTCTTCATATTTGTATTTTTTTCCCCTAAAACTCAAAATTCAATTGATGAACTAAAAATGATGACACAAGTCTGTGATACCCAAATCTTCTTCTCCAGCCTCTTTGTGAGAAGTCCATGTAGCTCAAAAACTGTTTGCGTCCTTCTCTTCGCTAAAACAATCACTGACCAGTGCCTATATCTATGTAATAATTTGGAGGAAGTGTGTGCGGTATCACAGCTGAGATGCAGCCCAGGTTCAAACACAAAGGACAGCTGGGAGACTTGTTCCCTACAGGCAACAGAAGTTGTTCTTGAACAACGGGTGTGTATGTAACAGAAATCCTATACAGCTGTAGAAGCAGAGGTTGTGAGTGTGCTCTGTATGTATGGTTATAACAATAGTTCTTACTATATTGGAAGATCTTCATAAAAACAGCTTGGTAAAACTTTGACCACATACCCTGTAGTAAACTCCACAGTGCATACACACATCTCCAAAATGATATCTTTCCATATTTCTCTACCATATACTTAAATCTTATAAATGGTAAATATACACATCAAGGTGGATCCACAAGCCATTTCCAGGTCACAACAAAACAGCCAGAGTGACGGTTAGCCACAGACAACATTCAGTCAGTGCTATTTGGTAGAAAACAGGTCCAATGATTAAACAAGAGAATTCAATTTTTTAGATAAAGCTTAGGGATGGAGCCTCACACATTTGTAATCAACAGGCAATCACTGGTGTACATGGAAATATGGTACAGTTGAGTCTGATTTACATTTCTGCTGTGAGTAATCCTTCTCCTCCCCTATCTGCCATGAACAACACAAGATGATTGTGTCGGAGTAAATGTCAAAAATCATGTACTAGGAACCAGCCACTGAGTATGAGTAATACAACTGCATTATCATTCATAACAGGGCGACAAACAGCGACGTCCGGATGTTATCCAAAATAAATCAGGCCAATGATGGCTATCGAGCACCTGTCAGCGGTGAAAAAGCAGCATGTTTCACTCATCACAGTATTTTCTTTTAAAGTTATGCTCATAACCAAATTAGTGCCACTCTACACGTAAGTCAGTTAACGTTAGGTGATGTTGTCAATAGTGCTTTTAAATTCAGATGCTGACCACAGGCCAGCCACTAGCAGCTTAACCTTCAGGTTATTTATTAAGGCCTTGAGCTTGAACTAGGGATGGGCGATATGGGTTAAAAATTTATCACAATAAGTTTTGCCTTCCTTGTGATGACGGTAAAAGTCCAGATAAAAAATACTATCATTTTAATCCATGTTTTCTGCTCATTCTGTCTTAAGAACACCAGTTGGCATAGTGAAATAAGATACGACTTAAAGTGGTAGGTTATTGGGAAAATTAGTGACATCAAACAAGTCTCAAATGTGAAAACACTTTGTTAAAAACTCTTATTGCACAGAGTGAACAGTGGCAGCAGATCCACTGTCCAATGTCTGGCATACTAATCCTGAAGAAAATCTCTCACGTGGAACCTGTTTTAGCAACGAACTGCTCAGAGACATCTTCTTCACCACCTTCGACTACATTTGTATGTTATTCTACTTTGTGTGGGCTACGGCTGTGAGTCCATTGCTCGTGCTCACGTCATCAACTTGCATTTACCGTAAGATGTCAAATATTTATCATGGAGCCTTTTTCTGATGATAAATTGTAAACGATAATTTATCGCCCATCCCTAGCTCACACACACGGCCTGATCTACTAAAGGGTTGCGTGTGCAAAAGCATGTGCAAACTTGATAGTGTGGGCAAAGCTGATCTACTGACCTGGCGCAATGAGAACTAGAAAAGCACTCAGAGAGTGCAGACCTCCACCAAGCAGCTCATGTCCCCCCCTTATATTGTGATTCACACCAAAACTTTTACTGTTACGTGTTTTTTATGAACTTTTATTTGTGCTTAAACTGGTATTTTCACTGTTCATAATGTTCCTAAAACAAGAAATGCCCTGACCCAGATTCGAACCCAGGACCTTCTTGCTGTGAGGCGACAGTGCTAACCACTACACCACTTTACCGCCCAGCTACACCACTGTGCCGCCCATTGGTTATCTTTCAGCATTGAAAATTCCAACAACACCCTCATTTTTGTGTGTTCTGGATCACAGTATCCAGAATTTTGTCTGGATCAGGATCAACCTTTGACACCTCATAAAACTCATTGAGATCCTTTTGTGTCATTTTTTACTAAAGACTCTGGCCATTTTTATAGAGTAAATGCAAAAATTCCAAAATTTGCCCTATCTCACAATGATAAAGAATCCTTCAAAAAAATTCTGGATCCAGAAGGCTATCCGGATCACCACCAAAATGTAATGGGATCCTCCTGGGGCTGAGATGCACCTCTGGTGAAAATTTCAGGTCAATCCGTCTGTTACTTTCTCCGTAAAGTTGTTCACAGATAAACAAACCAACGCTACCGAAAACATAACCTCCTTGGCGGAGGTAAAAACAGTGCACGCAATCGATTTAGTGTGTTTGCCTTCATAAATATGCAGATTGTATGTAGATAATCAGACCACGCAAAATTCTGGGAGGAGCAGATGCATATAAAATCATTTAGCACCCACAATGTGATTTATCAAACCCGGAAACCGATAGCGGTCACTGTTTTGCGTCTATATTTAGCACGTTTGAAAGGCACGTGCAAACCGGCACAGCATTACACATAAATGACTGAAGTCATTGTGGGGAGAAGGAGGCAACATTACAAAAGTGTTCTTCTAGTAAATGACGGTTTTGATAAATAATTAGTTCAGACACGAAACAGTCGCAAAAATGTATCTCTGTCTTATTGATTTTAAATTGTTTGAATCTCTTTTTTTTTTTTATTTCAGATATATTTTTTCTTGCATCTGTAAAGCACTTTGAATGGCCTTGTGTATAAATGGTGCTATACAAATAAACTTCCCTTGCCTTTTATGCAGTTGCTGGCTTCCCTAAAATGATAGGTGCAACTCCATGGGTTCAAGCTTCATTTTTCATCTACGATCACTCTGCTCTCACAAACTCTCCATGGTGACGGCGGATAGCGCACGCAAAGTCCTCGTTTTAAGAAGGCGGTCCGCACCACTAATGCTCCTGTTATTAATTGTGCATGCAATCATAGTAGATCACCGGCAACACCCCCACTAAAAGCACCTGCAATTTTTTTAGTTTGCACACGCAATTTAGCGTTCGCTATTTGGGATCTTAGTAGATCAGGCCCAAAAAGTTTGTTTCCAGGCAGGCAGTGCGGAGTGTAAATGAACAGCTGTCATCTTAGTACATGAGGAAGAAACCAGCTAGTTAGTGAGCTTATAGAAGCTAGCTAAGGGGTAGCTAGCAATTCCTGGACCTATCAAGGCAAGCTGCTGAGATCAGTGAATATTTGCAATAAAAAACAAACATGCACTTAAAGCTGCGATACTTAGAGAAAGACTTAAGCAAGGGACGCTGCATTGTATATGAATGTTGAAATGATCATTTCAAAAGATCTTTTTCCAATCAATGAATTTCATTGCTTATCATCATAAACGTACATGTATTCCATTTTTAATTTTCGAACAATTCTATGGTACCAAACTATCTTGAGATGACGTAAAGACGTGAATGATAAGTAAGGCTGCCATGGGCTGGTGTTTTCCTGCTGTAAGGGGCTTAAGTGATTATAATTTTTTTGGTTACATCAGATCAGACTCAAAACTGCAGCCAAGAAGCACAAGTTCAGTGTAGTTACTCTATATATCTCAGGTTGACCAGCAGCAAATGTCAGAGATCAAAATATGCTTCTTTTTTCCATCCCATTATTGTACACACTTTCAGTTCCTCCAAGGGTCAGGCTGTATAAACTTGACTCCCACCCTCTGTGTAATAACAAGGTAAGCATGGTCAAGTTCAAAGCTGTTTCAGAAATGGATGAACATCTTCACTCATGAAAATGGCCTTTTTTTCTTTTTTTACCATACACACAGCTGTTTTTTCACAACCTTTGAGTCATTTGGTATTACAGGTCCAAAATGATTTGTTAATCACCATTTGCTGCTGACCTCACCATCAGCTTAAAAACAACTCAATTTTGGCAAATGATTAAATATCTAAACTGGAGGCACAGAACAGGGCTTGGTTGTGTAGCAAAAGAAAAATGGGCCTGCTGTCCTGACATGCCCAAGAGTAGCTTGACTTCTATCAGCATACATTCTGTGCTTATTAGCCTTCCTATGTGGATGTTTTCCTTCTTGCTGGCATTAACCAGCATTGTGCAAGCAGGTACCAAGGCTTCAGCTGTGGCTGAGTTCTACCACCAGCAGTCACACCACATGGGCTGATTGAGACATTTAAGTTAAGGCTGCTACACTTGTAGTCAAATTCCAATTTTGGTTACTGGCATTATTTGTGAATCAAGATGCCTGTCAGTTGGGTGTCTTACAAAAGTGACGTTTTCCTCAAGAGGTGTTTTGTTCTTTGGCTAGCAGCCTGTTAATTCTATGTATTTTGAAACATGCCACCACTTGACCTTCTAAGGCTCATTTATCCTAACCGATACATACGGATCTGGATATGGGTGGACCTCTCTGTCTGTGTTGTGTTCTTTTCTCATCCGTATTTCTGCACGTATCTTTGAAGTTTACGGGATACGGGCCAGATGAAGCAGTACCACCAGAAACTGTGGGGGCAGTGTTGCTGCTGTCACTACTACTAGAGAGAAGAATTCTCCGTCCTCCAACCGTGAGGCATTTAGTGGCCTGACCGACCACCTCCTCCTCCAACGCTGCCTCTATTTCTGTCTCCTATGTAAAATATACATTATCACCAGCTACTCCACAGTTGCCATGCTACTTTTTGTTTGTTGTTGTCAGAAACTTTGGACTCCAGCCTGCCCCCTGTTGGATGTAATGGTTAACATCCATGCCAACGTAAAGGATGCATGAAAGTATGTGGGCAGTGACAGACCCTGTTTGAAACGGATGTGTACATTTTCATATGTATGGCGAGCATAAATGAGCCTTTAAACGCCTTAATCTCCAACCTGCTGAAACTATCTGAGTACCCACGATTGTCCTCAGTTTAATTCCCAATTAAATATAGTTCCTTCATGATAAAGCTGAAGCCTTGAGCAGAATAAGGGGCATGTTTTTTTCATTAATAGGTGATTTTTATGTTACAATATTTTGATCGTATGAACCTATTTTAAAAATGAACAAGTGCCCAACACTGTGGGTACTTCAGGAGAATTAGGCCGTCAGATAAAAGATAACATTCATGTAAGTTGAGCTGATTCACCATGGCAACTAGATGTGTGAGTTGTGGTCTGTGGTGTGGTGAACACTAACAATGAGAGTGAAATACTGAATGTAGGGAATCAAAATGCATCCATTAAAACAGAAGCCAAAATAAAAGGGAGAGTTACACTTTTGTCCAAAATGAGCACAACAAACTGACAAAAAAGACCTATAAAAATGGCTAGATAAACAGAATAATAATTATCTTTAAATAGTGTCACACATTTCTTTATTTCATAATACTAAATAAAAAGGAAGCTTTCTTCTTTCCTGCTCTCTGTATCTGATTACACCGCTCCGTGTGGTGGACAGCCAAACACACCAATCGCCCTCTTGCTGTTTCGTCTGTCACCATGACAACTACCAGCTGGACAAGCGTTCCCTGGTGCTACTTAACATTAACCTGTGGAGAGAAAAACAGACAACTATGCCAGGTAATACAATGCATGTGCATGTATTCATTTGCATTCTTCTAAAGTAAACATCCCCTTGTCAATATTATGATTCTGTGAGGGTGTAACTGTTAATTGGAGTCATGTACTGTAAGATCAGTGTTTATTTAAGTTATAATATAATATACAAAATTATGATAATCAATAAGAATTCTTTTATTCTCTCACCTGAATATTAATTTATATTTTTTATTTAGATTAAGACTCCTGCTAACCTTGGACATGGAAAAACTACATTTTTTTTAGTTCCAGCCCCAATAGCCAACATTTGCACGGATTGTTTTTAACACTGTGGGCTCTATTTTCGTGCTTCGCCGGAGACGTGCCGCAGGCGTGGCGTAAGTCAGGTCCGCCGCGCCGACAAGGCGTTCCCAAGCACAATTTGGTATTTTGGTGAGCGGCGCAGCCCGGCGTAAGTACCCCCCCTCCCTAACTCAGCTCCTCCCAGCGGCGTAAGTCGTAGCAAGGGAGGAGAGAGGGCGTGGAGTGGGGTTAAAACAGCCGAGACCTGTTTTTACCAATCACATAAGCTCCTCTCCTTGCCTTTAAATCCGCCACAGGCGAGGCGTATTAGTATTTTCATGAATTAGTCAAAGAGATCACGAGCTGTCTGAAGACAGTAATGCCACACAATGGCGACAGAGGGCAGCTCCTCAACAAGTGTCACTTTAAGCGCTGCATTGGGCGTCCTCCACACTCTCTCATCTGAGCACAGATGGATTTGGTGTGTGTAATGTTGGACCCACTGGTAAGACAAACACCCTTTTCCACAAATAAAGACACTCGCATAAAGTTGCATATATTCAAACCTCACATGACAAAGGTGGGTTGTGCGCACAGATCACAACATAAACTCCAAAAATGGCATTAAAATCGGAACCATCTGTGCGTAAATGACGCATCGCGCTCCGTGGCCTGGCTCTTTCTTTCATAGATGCTGGCATATAAAATAAATTTGGCTCACAAAACTGAATATTATAATATCCATATGTCGGCTTAAAGTAGATAACGCATCTGAGCACTGAAACAAATCATCTGTTCAGCCGCTGCAGGACGGAGAGAGGACACGGAGACATGTCCAGGTCGAGCTGCGCGAGAAATAAGAGGAAGAGGAAGACAGAAAAGCAGGGAGACGAATCACATATCTAGTTAACTTCATCATGTGTGTATATTTACTAGATATTTAATTTAATTTGATGCAGTTTCAGCTGTGTTGATTCGATCAGGTTGTGTGTCCAAACGCGTGCCAAATGCGCTCATCAGATCAGATATAGATCAGAATATATTGATATAGATCTAAATGTATGTGCTGACTCAGATTATTAGTTGTTGATGATTATTTATTGCACTGAAATGTGCCTGACACTGTGGAAACCTGCCAGTGAGGCATCAGTGACGTATACCAAAATACCACTAGACCAGCTGCGCTCCGCCTGCGCCGAAAGCTGACCAGGTTTGAATCGGCGAGCTTTCAGCGCACTTTACACGCTGGTGGTGAGCACGAAAATGTCACTGCGCCCGCTGATTCTGTCGACACCTCCCCCTGCCTCGCCACCACGCCCAGCTTGGCGGATCTTGGTTCGCGTCCGTGCGCCTCAGTCCACGAAAATACCAAACTGGCTGTACGCCAGGCTGCGCCAGACGAAAATACAACTGCGTCGCCTCACTGGCGTACACGAAAATAGAGCCCTGTGTCTCAAAGTGCAATCAAAGTTGAAACACAAGTTTGCCATCATGATTAGATCTTTTTGCCAACCTAGCTGGCTGCACATTGGTTTAACCCTGCAAAATCAGCAGAGAAAAAACTCGGACCACAGATTTAAAAAAAGGAATCAAAACTTCAGGACACTGTGCTTTAACAGTTGTCTAATTGTATAATGAAAGCAATGCCTAATAATGACTTTTTTTATCTGTGTAAACAAATGAGGGGTCTGGCTGCAGACCTCCACTGTGAGGACCACTCCACTGAGCAGACTGGAAGTTAAATCAAGTGCACTGTTAGGACCAGCTCCACGAACGAACCAGAAGTTGATTCATCATGTGTTCAACAAAGAGAAAAAGGGGATGACCATGCAGCAAAAACAAACTGGAGTATGTGAGAAAAAACATCACCTTGGGTCCTCTCAGCGGAGCGGTTCCTGACAGTGCAGGACTCTGCAACAAAGGGTCCTGACAGTGGAGGTTTGCAGCCAGACTGTCTTGAGTCAAATGTGTCTGGTATGTTACAAAATGACCTAGATACGACTAATTGAGCATTTTTCTGCAATAGCTAAAGCTAGCTAAAGTGACTACACTCACAGTTTCCTTTCACTGGAGAGTGGTATGATTTGCACCAAATATAGAAAAACCTGCTTGTCATAACAAACGATGCTTCCAGGTTTCCTTCACTCCTCAAGTCTACGCAAAAACGTAAGACTACAGGAGTAGTGCTGAATATCACAGAAGTGTTGGAATATTAAATTGAAAATGGTCTAGGCTAAAATAAAAGGATGTATTCTCTTGACTCAGCAATGATCCTCATTGTGTCAGGTATTGGTGAGGTAAACGTGATCCAATAGAACTCCTTATCGTCAAAGGCAAACATGAGCACAGATGTGGGGAGACCAGGGCTTGTTGTCACACATTTTACACTCTTATATATTTCTTGGAATCAATGTGTGGCCGGGTCGGGGTAATGTGCCTTTAATCACAGGGTTGAGGGTGGGGCTGCGGCGTCAGCGTGCACTTTAGCGCGATGGACGACAGCTGGGATGGAGCATTTCCGTGTATGGTGGCTGCTGCAGCAAACATTGTCCCCTGGAGCAGCACGCGTCGCAAGAGAAAGATAGTGTGCAGGTTAGGCGTTTTATGTGTTCTGGTGAGTTATTCACCTGCAGTACTGCTAAGAGATATCCGTTTGTTTTAGCTGACATGTTTAGTTGTTCAAGAACGTTATTGGTTTCCCCTGACAGAATGACAGAAAGAGACGGGGCAGGCAGTATGCCAGAGCGGTGTGACTGAATGGCCAGTGTTCCGCCGTATTCACGTTGGGTGGCATTTTAACACGCCAAGCGTCATTCATGCATTGACATGTAAGTTTCCGTATCTCCCTCTCTTGTTTCCTGACTGTGTATGTGGGTTTGTTTCTAATGTGTTGGAAACCTGAGTGAACTAAATGGTTTATGTAAATGTGGTTCCTTTTAGTGGTCAATACAGACCGTGAGAAGTTTAGTGAGGGGTCCTGCTGTATGTGTACCTGCAGTAGTGTGTCTCGGTGAGTTAGTAGCTCAAAGTAAAGGGGCTCATGTTTATTTATTGTGTAATGATGGTTATTGTTTAGATTCTCTAGACGGTGCAGTATGTTATGTTATGCCTTGTAGATGGTGGAGAGCCACTGCTTAGCCCAGCTACTGTTTACTGATAGGGGTTCATTTGGTTAGGGCAAGCTGTTGAATATACGGTGTGATCTGTCTCTCATTTTTATGGAAACTGTGATACTGTTCTCTGCACTGTGATAAATGAAATACCACTTTGGATGATGATCTTGGCCTTTTGTAATAAAATATTTTATATTTCTCTATTCTGAATTAATTAATAAAGATCATATATTTTTAATAATATGTTGTTGTTCTGCCTGCTAATTGTACTGAGCCTCCGGGTCACAAATACATCATATATAAACAAGATGTGTACCAGATTAAAGGCCAAAGTCTCAGGTATATATTTTGTATTCATGTCATTATTATATGTGTCAGTGCAGAGTTATAAGCAATCAAACAGAGAGTGTGAACATGTGACATGTTGCCCCACCATTGGGTAAGTTGTCTCATTATATGGGTTAAGATGTCACAGTGGATTTTGCAATAAAATATTATGCAACATGCTCTGGAGTTTGAAGATCTGTCTGACTCTGTATTTCAGCTGGGATTAATGTTTTTTCAGTACCGAGCTAAAGTATGGTAGTTGACATTAAAGTCTTTGATTGTACTCCAAATTGATTTATTAGCTAGGGTCACCTAACTGACTGTCCTCAGCATCATGCCAGGCACTGCACTGCCACGTTCTGTTTTTCTTTTGTAATTCCTGACCATGTCTTCTCACTTTCTCCTCTCCTTTAAACCACTCTGTTCTCTGTAAAAATAGTCAAAATTTCTGTATGACAACTGCTGATAAGCAGACTCTCTATGTTAATTTTAATTCCCTCTAAACATGTGACAACTAACCCCGAATTGATTGAGACATGTTGCCCCAAACAACCATGTTTGCTAATTCTACCTCTAGATTAAAGTTATCTTAAAAAAAGAACAAGGGTATGACAGGATGCCTTAATGTCTCCTCTAACAAGTCCACATGTATCACTGCTAGGATTTTTATCTGGAAAAAAATTATTTTCAAATATATAAAATTAATTTTTATTTTACTTTGGGTTGTGCAAAATGGTTAATTGGCGCTCATCTCAGTTCACAATGTGCTCTTCTCTTCTCAGACAGTACATGACCCATGACCATGTAAAGTAATAAAACTAGTATTTCACTTTTTAGTTGTGCCCTCTGGTGGCAAAGATAATTGCAATGTGACAACTTACCCATGTGACAGCAAGCCCCGGTCTCCCCTACCACTGTGATTTAATTGTGAGATGAAAGACCGAAGTGACAAGTGACATTTGTGACTCTAACGGTAGTTCCTTATGTTGGTTGAAATAACTCACCTTGACCTGGGCTAGTGCAAAAAGTTGTCTATTCTGGCAAAGGAGCAAGAACCAGATCGGACTCGAGCCATGAGCTGAACACACTCTGTGGCCTGGCCAAGCGCTAACATTAGTGGAGGCTGCTTAGGCAGATTTTGAGACTCTGGAATGAAAAAAACAGCACAGTTATTTTTGTCATTTCTCACTGGGAGTTTGTCCTATTGATCCAAAGACTGATTTTATTTAAGGTCAGTTTTAATTTGTACAATATCATAGCAATCACATCTGATTTCAAAGTAAAAGCCCTTTTTTGTTGTCCTGATTCTTGTACAGTAGATTTTCCTCAGTGTTTTAGGAAAATATTTATTATTTTATAAAATACAGTATATCATATTTTTTAGCAGTCCAACATGTAGCAAAAATAATGATCCTATCAAATTCAAGTCGTGTCTAGTTTAAACCAAACACTGGTTTATGCTACTTCTTTGACAGAGTGTCAGAAGGCATTGTGCATCCATTGTAAAATACTGCATGTATGTGGAATTAAGGTCAAATCTCTACGACTAGCAGACTGTATATTTTTTTATCTTCTGCATTGTTACAGCAATACCAAAACAGGTGCAGCTAAACTTTGAATAAATTGGTTTCACAGTCAAATGCATGCTTTTTTTTACCCAGTATGGCACTGTTGAGTGCAGAGCAGAGAGATTCTCTTTGTGTAGGGTCTAACTGCTGGCCCACCGGGCAGTTCCAGGGGTCTGAGTAAGCTAGCAGGCTGAATGCATCCTACAAAAGAAGACAGATGGACAAATGGGGAAGCAACATGATTAAAACACAGTATTGAAAAACCTTCAACAGGCTGACTTTTGAAGTCCCAGTCCCCGTCTCTGTATGGATCCACAGGTACTCCTTTAAATGAAGCAATGACCAGTTAGACAGTTTGATCAATTAAACACACATGGGCTATAGTGTCTGCACTTTCCCCGAAGGCTGCTGTCAGTTGACAATATGTTCTTCCATTTTTGCACTGGTCTCCATTTTTAAGAAACACGCTAACCTTGAGGTTGTGCCAGGTAAAAAGATACCTATTCTTACTAGGGATGTAACGACGCATCGCCAGACAGTTAAAAAAATCGATACAAATGTGTGACTATTCAAATCGGCTAAAATGATTTGCAGTGCCCTTTTTAAACAGCGGAGGGTACGTTCACGTGATCAACTTGTTATGTGTTCAGCATTGTGTGTCACTGATTCGGACAAGAGACAAAATGGTGTTCGCAAATGATTTGAAAATAGATTGTTGACGGTTGTGGAAGGCTTTTTTTTACATGTGCATTCATTGCAGTTTGTTTTGAAGTTACACCCTACCTCAGAAATGTTTTTTTCCTGAGAAATATTTAAATGAATCTTTTTTTATTCTGTTAAAAAAAAAAATTGTGGGAAAATGGTATCGTCAACCTAGAATCAGAAACTGTATCAAATCGGGCATTGGGTGTATCATTACATCCCTAATACTTAGACAGCCACAAGTTGTAAGACGCCCTTCTATGAGTGGATATGAAAAGCTAATCAGTCAAAGTCAAGAGCTGCCAGGTCTGTAACTTTTTTAACAGCTTTATTGTAATAAATTAATTAGCTGGCACTTTAGGTTATGCATAGACAATGTGTTTTAACCATGTAAATTTCATCTAGTGTGTGAAACTTTTAGGGGCTGGAGCTCTCAAATGAATGTTTAGCTTAATCCCAAAGAAAGAAAAAAAAACTAACATTCATGGTCTGCTTCCTTTGCTACAGTGGACAACAACATGATAATAATGACATAATTATGTCACTCTGTTACTCTGGTATGACTCTGAGGAATGAGAGTTTTAGAGGAATACAGTATTTCTGTAATTTGTATGGAGTTTGTGACCCCTGGTGGTTACAATGATGAACTACAAAAGCAGGAAAGATATTGCAGTTGCTGTGTTTCAGTGATGTCAGACCTTTGGGTGATATTTTCATCGTTAAGGACTGTTAGCTATAACTGACAACAGACAAACCTTTCAACAGAACCTGGACTTGTTACTCTTTCACAGATTCTCATGTTCTCATCTGAGAAAGCCTGCTAGTATAGTCCTGATTTTATAAGAGTTGGGACACTGTGTAAAATGTTGATGAAAACAGAAATTGATAGTAAACAATCCAGTCAAAGCTACATTTATGTCATTGAAAATGATGCAAAGACAACAAATCAAATGTGAAACTAAAAACTGGCATTAAAAAAATACAGGCATTTTTTACATTTTGAGCCTTTTAGCAATATGTTTCAAAATAGCTGAGACAGGAACAACAAAACATTGGATAGGTTGTGTAATATTCAAACATGGAAGAGCATTACATTTTTAATAGCAACAAGCTAATAACATGACTAGGTATACAAAGAACACTCAAGAGAGGTGAATCATTGTACACAGCATCACTGCATAGGCTCAAAGTCCCACCCATGAGTCATTGTCTGCGAACACAGTTTGTGAACTGCATCAACAAATGCATGCTGGGTCTGAGCACATTTAAGGTGGACTAAAGTGGAAAACTTCCCTGAAGTCTGATAAATTCATATTTTTGGAAATAATGGATGCTGCAGTCTTTTCTAAAGGAGCGGAGGGACCAACAGGACCAGTGTGGTATGGGGATGCATAAGTGCATATCTGGGAAAGCTATTGAAATGATGGATGATATATAATGGTTTGGGGATAACATTCGAACAATGCTGTTTGTTAGGAAAGCCTTTGCATTGTAAAGCCAAGATGCCAAGTACATTTCACATGCATTACTACTGCTGTGGTAGAGTTCAGGTGCTAATCTAGGCTGCCCTCCATCCAGACCTGCTACCTGTTTTGTATATTTGCTGCATTATGTCACAAAAAACTTTGAGCAATCCTGAAGTCCTTTTGATCCAACTTTCAAAACTCCAAAAACTGGCCTCCTGGGTCCCAAAAGTTTCTAAGTGTTGTGAAAAGATGAGGTGATGAAAAACATCAGCAAACCATCTTTTGTGTTGTCAAATTTAAGATGAACACAAAATAACATTTTCTGGTGTCAGCATTGGACTTGTCTTTGCTTTGTTTCTGATTAAATACAGGCTTTTAAGAAATATGAAAACAATCAACATTTTACACAGTGTCCCAACTCTTGTGGAAATGGGGTTAAAAGGATATTCCGGTCAAACACACTAACACCGAATTAGACACCCCCTCCAGAGATGAATGTTGCTGACTGCTTTCTTATCGAGTTATACCAACTTCAGTAACGACTGCATGATAGCAATACACACCGGTCTACGTCTCCAGGTGCAAACCTCAACCAAAAAGCCACTCTATAGCCACAAATAATACTCAGAACAGCAGCTAACTTCATCAACAGTACATATAGGGTTCCAGCCATAGTACTAGCCCTGACGAGTCAATCACTGAGTGCAGCAGAGTTTCGCAGCTCAAGGAAGAACATTTATGATTATTACTTCATGGAAATAATCCGCTGCACTCATCAGGGCTTCCCCACAAACAAGAGGCTGCTGGAGGAGAGTGGGTGAGTTGTGTTTGGTCTCCTTGCTAAAGAAACTAAGCAAAGCTAAAAAGATGTTTGGTGGAGCATGTTGGTCTGCGTGTGGAGACATAGACAGCTGTGTATTGCTATTGTGCAGTTGTTGCTGAAGTTGGTATAACCAGAGAAGCAAGCAGTCGGCAACATTCATCTTTTGAGGTAGTGTCTAACTTGGTGTTAGGGTGTCTTTGACCATAACTTAATTTTATGCCAGAATATCCCTTTAAAAGCTGCAATGCAAATATATATTTCAGCCTTTCTGTGTTCTGGAGAAATGACACTGGCTCTATCTGCTTCACTGTAACATCCTAACATCCTAGAATAGAAAGTGTGTGCACACCTGTAACATCTTCTTGTGTGTAGTATTCTTGCCATACTCCCGGCACAGTTGTTCACTGAGTGCTTGCAGCTCCCGTCCAAACTGGATCATCCTTTCTGTGGCTGCCTGGTTTCCTCCACAAAGCTGTCTACTATTACTCCAGCCTTCTTCTGTTCACAGAGAAAACATATCCTTAAACAGTTCAATTATTCTGGAAGCTCAATATAAAGAAAATGATCGAAACAAAACTGAGGCAAAAAAAAACAACAAAGATGATCCATCTGTGGTCAGAATAATGGAGATAAAGAAGTAAAAAGCAAGAGAAGTGCTGCTCAATGATACGCTTTAAAAGAAAGCATGTATAGGTGAGATCTCTCAATGGGCTCTATTTCCATGCCTCGCCAGCGGCGTGGCGCAGGCGCAGTGTGAGTCAGGTCCGCCTTGCCGATAAGGCATACCCAAGCACATTTTGGTATTTTGGTGAGCGATGCAACCCGGTGTAAGTATACCCCCTCCCTAACTCAGCTCCTCCCACTGGTGTAAGTAGTAGAGAGGGATAAGGCGTGGAGTAGGTTTAACACAGCCGAGACCGGTTTTCACCAATCACATCAGCTCCTCTCCTCACCTTTAAATCTGCCACCAGCGAGGCATATCACAATTTTTGTGAAGTAGTCGAGGAGATCAAGAGATGTCTGAAGACAGTAATGCCACACGATGGCGACAGAAGGCAGCCCCTCAACAAGTGTCGCTGTAAACGCTGCAGAGGGTGTCCTCCACACTCTCTCATATGAGCACAGATGGATTTGGTGTGTGTAATGTTGGACCCACTGGTAAGACAAACACCCTTTTCCACAAATAAAGACACTCACATAAAGTTGCATACATTTAAACCCCATGTGACAAAGGTGGGTTGTGCGCACAGATCACAACATAAACTCCAAAAATTGCATTAAAATCGGAACCACCTGTTTGTGACCAGCTTTGAATCAGCGAGCTTTCAGCGCACTTTCCACACCGCCAGCGAGCACGAGAATGTCACTGCGCCAGCTGATTCTGTCGACACCTCCCTCTTCTGCGCCACCACGCCCAGCTTGGCGCACCTCAGTGCGCCTCAGTCTACGGAAATACCAAACTGGCTGTGCACTGGTCTCCGCCAGACGAAAATAGCACTGCGTGGGTTGCGCCACCCTCTGCCGCACCTCTGGCGGGCATGAAAATAGAGCCCAGTGTGTGTGTGTGTGTGTGTGTGTGTGTGAGAAAGAGAGAGCACCTGTGACCCCATTGCCGATGCTGTTGTCATCTGGTTGAAGAATTTCTTCATGTTTGTATGTGCCATTCATGATCCGGGCTGAGGACCCCTCTACAACCCCGTTTGTATAGTGCTCTGCTTCTATTTCCATGTCACTGTCACTAAACACACACGGACATGCACACACAGGGACACACAGGTGACATCAAGGGGTATTCCTTGCAGTTTCAAAGATCAGATGTGATTGGCAGTGACAAACAACTTTGACTAATACTTGTACAGCTGCGGTTACCTTCTGATTCATATTGTTCAATCTTGCCTGAGGCACTAAAAAATATGTCATCTCTCATCAATGCCCATTAAAAGAGCAGAAGGAGGAACACAGCGCAAATACTGACTTGTGGCAAATAACAAATATTATTTAAACATTGTCAAATTCTAGAGAGACCAGGTTTGACATCATAATGCCAGGAAAGAAGTAATCCCAGACAGTGGGCTTCACAGGGCTGTGATAGGGCAGAACATTCATATGCACAAAGGAGGATGACTTGTAAATGAAACAGGGCAGAGATCATTGTAAACTTCCTTCAAGTTATCCAGTATCTCACAATGAAAACTGTTTAAAACAAGCTGCAGAGACAAAATGATCAAATTGAGTAGAACTGCAACAATTGTACATCCACCTCACTGTGTATCTGTACAGTGTCTTTGTATAAAGTAGTGCTGGACGATTAATCAAATTTTAATCATGATTTCAATTTTGGCTTCTCATGATCATAAAAACATTATATCCAAAGATAAAAGATTAATGCGCCGCACGGTGCGGCGTGTATATGAGTTCCGGTATTGGAAAAAGACCTTAAATGCACCTCTGTTACGTGCAGCTGCAGCAAGTGTGTGACATGTGTGTATCAATAATATGAGGAGTGAGCGATTGAAAACATAGGCAGCCTTTGGTTCAGAGGGAAGGTAGGACTGCTTTAGTTATCTTGAAACATTTTGGCTTCAAGATGACAGACGTCAAACATAAGAAAACAGTTTGCAAAGTTTGTCCCAATGTCGTGTCTGCTCCCTGAGGCAACACGGCCAACTTCATGGTTTCCCCTATATGCAATTGATCGTGGCACACCGCCATGGCTAAATAAAAGCTGCCACACCTAAAAAATGATTTTTCTTTTAAATTTACTTGGCTCTAACTCAGACTTATATGTATCAGAATATGCGTGCACACACGGGCGCTGCACCGTGGAGCATTATTTTTTTACTTGTTACTAATTTATTTCTGGCTGTTCTTTTAAGTTATATTTAAAGTTAAGCTTTGGTGGTTCAATTAATACTCATGTTCTGAAATCAATGGATAATCGTGTTTATTAATTGTGATGTTAATATCAGTCAAAATTAAGGTGATTATTATTGTTGCATAATCGTCCAGCCCTATTATATAGTATATGCTCCATCTGACAAGGTTGCAAATACTTGAAAACAAATCTGCTGTTTATCTACTTCAACAGGTCTGACTTTGTCTGCTTTGGACTGACACTGGCAGGCCTTCCTCCTACCTTGTTTCCTGGGTACTGTTGGCGCTGTGAGGCTGGCTCTTTGTGGAGTCAGATGAGTTGGACTCAGAGTAGTTGACGGAGGAAGGGGAGGAAGAGGTTGATGATGAGTTGGAGGAGGACACACTAGGATATTTGACACTAGTGCCGCCAGCGCCGCTGTGGCTCTTTGATTTGTTGGAGGGGGTCATCCCATTACTGCAGGTTGGGCTGTCTGCTCCTGGGTAAGAATTAGAGGGGAAATAAACCTCTTGTCAATTTTTGAACTTTTATAAGAGCTGAGCTTACATACCTCCACTGTGCAGGTGTGTGATGCTGGTGCCATGGTGGGGGCTGAGGCTAGGTGAGCCAGGGTAACTGTCTTGAGACTTGGGTGAGCGAATGGTCAAGCAACAAACCTCACTGTCTGTACCATTCACCATCTCCACAAATTGACGACACCTAGAGAGCAAAGGAAATACGGGTGGATTTCAGACTCCAATTAGGAAAACAAACATTCCGTTTTTTTTTATTTGTGTAAATTTTTCAGAGGGTTGATTGTGTATATGTTTATTGAACTGAATTTAACTTGAACTACTTGCATCAAAATTCAAACCAAAGGCTTTACAGTTTAAAAAGACATATGACACTCAGTCTAAGTCTCAAGGCATCTTAGATGGTGAAGGTATGATCCAGAATTTCACCAAAATCAATGGCCATCTTACGCGTGTACGATAAAATGACCTTGTGCACATCTTTGTGCACAGTTTTGACACCTTGTCTCACCTCACCTCTCGCCTACCATCTTATCCAGAAACTGGTCTGGAGATGAGATGTGGCCAATCACTGCTGGGATTGAGCTGTAAAATCACTGAAGTTAGCCAGATTATGACTAAAGGTGCCGGATACCGAATGGTGAACTGTGATTTCAGACTTCAGATCTGTTGTTTTTGTCAAACAAACACAACATAGACACATATGAACAGCCAGTCAGATTACTACAACCACTTCAAAGCAGCCTGTGGTTGTCCATGAAGGGCAGATGGCCCAAAAGCATAAGTATAAACACAGGACAGTCAGCAGCATTAGCAACCCTGTGGCTATAATGTCAGCAGTGTAGACATAATACACACTAGAAAGTGAAGAGAGGTCGGCAGTCACCTGCATATTCAACAGGATTATTTAGGGGGTAGTAGCAACAGAGCTGTGTGAAATATGACCAGTTAAATGATGCCTGAAAACCGCAGCAGCACATGTCCTACTCCGTAGAGCTGTGCTGCAAAGTTTGTGGCACCCCCCCACCGAGAACATGCTGTGACAGCCTTAAAATTTACATTAGTCATTTAAAACTGACATTTGTCCCATAATGCTTCTTAGTCCCACTTGCACCTCAAGCTGAATCCCAGTTCCAGTTTGAAGTGATCACGGTCAGTTGATATTGTAATCCAGTTTGTAGAAAAATAGATATGAGAAGGGGCAAACAACAAGAGAGCAATGCTCAATGTTTTCATCCTTTGTCCTGGGCATCACCATTGTGAATCTCACACTTTCACATAAGAGTTGGGTTCACAGCAACATTGTTTCAATGTGTGTTTTAAGACCATAGACTGTTTATACTATGGACAACCTGGTTCCGCCTACCGCCTGTATACAGATTTGAAGCCAAAAAGCTCTCGATATTTCTGGGATTTTTCTTCATTTCCCGAAACCAGCACTGCGCAGTAACGATGTGCGCGTTCAGCCGCACAGTCGCCGAGAATCGCTGTGATGACGCTCGGCTCAAACAGCGTATCCCTCGGGTGAGCTACACAATCCCTGAACGCCAATAGGCTGTATCAGTTGTCAATCATAGAAAACATGAACCCCCTAATAACTTTTAAAAACGGAGCTTCACAGAAAAAAGAGGACTTGGGCACAAACCAGTCTTACAATAACTACATGTCAACATCACAAGCAGGGGGGAGAAAAATTTATATTCTGTGTAATAAATTTCTAAAGTTTGTAAACAGCCCCATAAGCTTTGCTTAGCGAGGAGGCAGACTCTGTCCATTCTATATACAGTCTATGTTTAAGACACGCTCACCAGTTTTACACTTTTGTGCAAAACTGCACAAAATGCATCTGACTAAGCTAACTAAGTTAGCAGACATAAGCTAAAGACACCTTATAGTTAACTTAGTTACGATAGCTATTTTTGTTGAAAACAACAAAAAAAGGAACAAATTGCCGCTGATTATCCAGCCAGATATTATCTAGGTAAAGTCTTGGATCAGGGCTTGGCATCAGCCGATTTTCAATGATGAAAGATCCGATCGGGGGGCAAAAAAGTTGATCAGGACATCCCTTATACCAATCACTGTGAAAGATTGCATATCAAGCTAGTAACATCAGCAACAATTTAGCCTTTTAACCATCTAAATTGCATGTTTTGAGCACAACATGATTTTAGGGCATATCTTACCATAATTTGGTAGTTAAATGATGCACAATCTGGATGCTGAGCAAGGTGCGGGGCAAAATCTGGTTCGATTAAGTCCCTCTATAACTAACGGATGTGTTTTGGGCACAAAATAATACAAACTGTTCAGTGTACCTTCTCCCATCACTTTTAAAGATTAGGTATTCCTGCGGGCAAGTTTGCTACAGTGGAAGCTGCAGATTTTAGCCTATTTTACCTCAATAAACTGAGTATGAGCCATTTTACTAAATTCTTTTTATTAATTTAATCCCTTAAAATGCAGAAAATACACGCAGCCCACTATAAAAGTTAGGTTTCATTGCATGGGTTGATTTTATACCAACTTAACCAATCCCTCCAAACAGCAAAATTCATCATGGACTTTCCTGGTTCAACAGATATGGGTAAATATGGTAGTCCTGTAGGAAATGGATGAAATAATAGTCCCTCTGTCCTATTAAAGACAACTCAAGTTCACTGTTTTAGAAGATACAATAATATTGTGTTAGCAGTTGTTGCTCTGCATCTCTTTATATGTATAAACAGCAAAAAAAAGGGAATTTTGTAAATTTTGCTAAGCTTACTGTCTCACTAGTGTTCCCATAAGTAACAAGAAGATATTGTGCCACTAACTTTAAGTCCCACCCTGATCGTTTTTTTAACTACTTAAAGTGTTCTCAGTGGTCTTTAAATCGTGACTATGAAGTTTTTAGCCAAAATTACATTACCTGTGTTATTTTCAAGGGCTTTTCTTTTCACCTCCAATTCACCTCTGAGTCGTGGGCTGAGACAGTGCTGCTCCCCACACTCCTCTTCATGCTAGCTTGCAGCCTAACATTGTTGGCGTAGTAGAAGTAGCAGGTAACATAGGAGCTATTCAGCTCTCTAACACTAATGTCTTTGAGGACATGATGAAAGTTAATAGCATAATTAGCTTTCTTATGAGCATTGCAATCCGCTAACACACACGCTTGTTCCGTGATCATCCTCTCTATTTCTCTGAGTCTTGCTGGGGCTCCGGGGGCGGAGCTTGGATTTGTGACATAGGAAATCTCACTGTGTCTGAACCTGCTGATTGTGTCTGCCAGAGGCTCACTGCAATTTAAACGAAGAAATACTGAGAAATGCAATTTTGCAAGCCATTAGACCAGGTTCTTGTTGGTATAGGGCAGAGCCAATTTCCGTCTCCAAAATACAAATGTGCCATCTTTGTCACTACCACTTCTCCTCTGAAGACCGACACTCTCATGGGAGCTTCCACAGGAGTCACTCCACTCGTCATTTGCACATGGGCACTGGGAATCTGACAAGTGTGTTGGTGGAAAAAACATTGACTCCTGCTCGCCAAGATGCTTTGTACTGGGTGTACAATAGGGCTTACTGACTGTTACTGTAGTATACTGTCTATTTTACTGTAGGTGTTCAACAGAATGAGAGGAGGAAGAGGAGAAGACAAGAAACATCTTTTCTTCCTGACCAAACATCTTACCATGCACTAACCACTGACAAGAAAGTCTGAAAAGCGGGGAAGAGATCCCTTTCTTCCCTACGAAACAGATAGAGGAGGGCAGGATGAACATCCAAACTTTTGTCAAACAGCAAACACACTTCCACTGACTTCCCACGTGTTCCACAGACATGATGGTGTCCATATTTGTGGAAGTTCAAGAAATTATAGCACTGTCTTATGTTGCTTTGAGAAACAAGCACTACATGTGTCTCATCCACCAGCAGTGTCACTTCAAAGAAAACAATTACTGCTTAGCCTAAAAAATTAAGTATTGAAACAGCCTCCTTCTTGGTAACCATTTGAATGACATCCACTTACTTCAACATGAATAGTAGGTTGGGGTTCCTTTCTAACAGGCCGGGATAAAGTTGCTGTGTAGCGTCTATGGCTTCACCCACCCGCCCTGCCAATACCAGCTTCTGTATTCCTGTTTGGAGAAAGTAAAAGAGTCACACACAGTGTATTGATAAAGGAGGGACAGGCTTTTACAACAATCATTAGAAAGGCTGATATATTCGTTATAGAGGCCACTGGTCAGTGGAGACGTTTCAAATCATGGAGTTTCTGATTTTATCAATGTTTTATGCACAATCCCAACTCTCCTGGAATTGGGGCTGTAGTACTGATGGGATACTTTTAAGACCACAAAACCAGATCAGAGTTGTTCAAAGCAATGGCCTCGTTTTTGGAGCCAAAGACCTTGAGCAGTGCCGCAGGGAATTCAGGGTGTTTAATTCCAGGACACACCAGGTGAGCTTTTGTTTATTAATGATAGTTTGTGGCTATGCAACACTTGAAACAGTTCAGGGCTTGAGGTATGAGGCTGAAGCCTACAGCACTACAAAGGGTAACATCATTCATCTCAGTCAGGTTTGCTTCTTTTGCTGTGACAAAGCCATCATGCAGAGGGGATAAGACAGGACAGCCTCCCCAAAGCAAGCACAGCAGCTCAGGATTCTTGTGCGATTTTAGCAAACACTTGGAAAAGAAAGAAAGAAAGCTGATTTTCCATTGGCAACTGTGGAGTGCCTCAAATCGTGCCCCTTGGTATGTTTTCCATTTACAGAGCATGACTGCATATGTACTCAGAGCATGCAGGTTATGACAGCTCAAACATTTTTTACTGTTTACCTGCATTTGCAGAATTAGTAACAAAAAAAATTGGTTTGGAATCGCACATTCGTCCTTTAAGATGACTTGATACGGTATCAAATCACTGCAGCAGGTCACATTTGATTCACTTCAATTCAATAATGGTCCCTCACTCTGCCTGTTTTTTATAGATGTCTGGTCCTCTTGTATCATGGTCTCTGTGGCTCTGGCGAAGGCTGTTGCGGTGGCACAGTACCCATGATGCACCAGATAGCTGGACACCATACTGGAGAAAAAACATGAAAGCATTGTTTGATGGTTCAATAAGCCAAATAATGAATTAGGTGATGCTTTATATTGACACTCTTAAGGAACTTAAGTATATACATCCACACTATGGTAGTCAGTGCTATTCTCTCTAAACACAGATGATTTCTAGTGGGTTTCTTGAGGTTTTATCATATCTCATATGCTGTCAAACATAATTTAGTCAGTGGAGTGGGCTTGGCATGACAAAAACATTAACAGACTATGCCCTGTATCAGTTTAGTAAGGGAGAGTGAAATCTGTTTGACAAACATGACATCAGACTCTCTGGCCATAAGGGGATTTTGTATCACATGATTAACGCCTGTGGTTGTGGTCATCTGCTTCCCTGACACCATCCTGGTATAGAAGTAAAATAAATAGATTGATGTTGAAGTGTTTCCAGAGTTGTAGGGACTGAGGCTTACTTCTGCAAGATGGCCTGCCACTCCCCAAGCCTCTCCCCTATGGGAAAGCGAGCGATTATGCCGTGGATCTTTGCCCTCCATTCGCTCATGTAGTCTTCTATGTCAAAGACAAATGGCTGCTGGCCAAAGTTAGCATCCACAATCTCACCTGGAGTTTGAAGCCCTACTGTTGGGTACAGATTGGGCTGGAAGATATCGGTGCAAAAGAAAATATAAATAATTCAAGTTGGTTTCTGCATCACTTACTGTATGTATTAGACAAATACTGAAGTATCGTTGAAGCTGTATCATTTTCCGACACTGATGAGGTTTGTGGTGACAGAAGTCTTATTCATCATGACAACTTACCAAACACTAACACTAAACTGCAGAGTTGACTCCAATATGGCCTTTTTTCATTAGAATTTTGAAGAGTTTAAGGTCTTACTTATGACAAACTTTATACTAAATTGGCACTAAGTGTTATTTTGCTTTTGACTCAGATGATTTGACATAGTAGGGTTTGACTGGATTGCTTTTGTAAATGCATGTAGGAGCCACAGAGGAGAAAAATATTCTCATTTGGATGATCTTTTTTCTTGAAACTTTACAATGATAAGAGGTAAAAAGTCATGATCAAACCACAGGCCATGTTTGGTTGTTTATCTATCATGAAAATAATGCTGGAGTTATGTGAGGTACATTTGATCATACTTACAGGGAGGTCTGTGAATGCCACACCTAAGGGACAGAATGACCAACAGTTAGGATTTGAGGATTTCACGTTGTCAACAGAAGTGTGATTGCATGAAAACAGGTGAACTTACCCAAACTGATACCATTTTTAGTGTAAAAACAAGTGTTGTTAATGAGGTTCACACAGCAGCCAATGACATCCCCTGTAGTGAATGTTGGGCCGTATGGTTGACCAGTCCCAGAGGAGCAGAAGGAGTGGCCATCATCTCCATGGTAACCATATGAATGCTTGTCCCATCCTAAAGGAGGACAAGGATGCAAATGAGTTGTTATGAATACTTGATCTGTAGAGCAGCCATTATCCCGTAAAAGAGCTTTGTGAGTGTGTGTGTTGACTTGCATAATCATTCTGCTGCTCTTTTCGTCTCATACTGCATAAAACTGGTGGGTGCTACTCAATACAGTCACACTCAATACACAAGCACTTGGGGTGGAGTAATCGGCTTTTGGTCACACTCAACAGTAGTTGCTGCTGAAGGAGGGGAAATGGTTACTCATTGACTTTTTTGCTCAGATTTTCCCATCTGACAACCCTGCCTGCCAAACTCATATACACACGTTCTGACTTTTACAAGTGGTGCAGATCTGTGGAAGACCAGCAGGGGGATCTCATCCATGCATAAAAACTGGTGAGTCACTGCCGACAGGAACAGCAGTACTAGAGGCTGAACAAGGAGAGTATGGGGAGAAGAGGACAACATAGCATGCAAGTTTCTAATATCATGTGCCTTCAGGTGTGGATGCATGTATTTGTTGCTGCAGGTTAAGGTTATTAAATCAGCCAGTTTGTTTGACTTATTATTCCCCTCAGTTTATGCAACGTCATTGTACCTAAAACAACGTTTCACACTTTCTGTGCCAAATGGAGGCTGTAAATATTTGTTTATGCCTTTTCTTTTTATTTGAAGATGGGATGAGGTTAAAGTGTCTGGTGTCTCTCCCCCTGATAGATAAATAATGTGTGAAAATCTGACAGTTGTCATCTCATTCAAAAGGAAAGGAAAGGTTAACGGGTGACATTTTTCCCCTCTTGTTTTCTGTTAAAGTTGAATATTCTCTGAAAACAATGATATTGGTTCTGGTAAATGTCATTGCAAAATCAAGGTGCCACAGACACGTGTTTAGGGATTGATGGAATGGTAAAGTATGTCTGGTCTTTTTTCTTCTTTGGTGGACAGATGTTTTGAGCACTGAACTGAACTGTTAAAGGATCAGATTTCTTTGGTCTTGTTGATCTTAGCATTTATCTGTGACCCTTTAAAATGAATTGATTTCATCCACAAAGTACACAGATTTTCCTCAAGGTGCTAAATTTTGTACTTTTATATGAGTTTTCTGACCACAGTGAGTGCTCTACATGCCAGTCACCCTAGTCACATACATTCATATATTCATACACTGCTGAGGTTCATTATCCATGTAGCCCACTATACGCAGTGTTGACGATGATAATCAAACTGGTGGAGCTGTCTTTAAGGGGACACTTAACCATCATGGCTGGAGACTGAAGACAAGGTACCATGGTCCATTTTTGACATTTTCAACCTTTACAGCAAGAGGAAATACTGTAGTCGTTCTATACACTAAATTCAGGGACTCACTCGCACATATCTGGAGTACAAGCTTGTAATGCTTATGTTTAATTCTAATCTATATTTCAAGGAATTCTTCACCCTAAACTCAGTCCAAGGGACCTGAACCTGACAGCATTAAGTGTCCTGCCACTCTGTTAGTGTCTCTCCAATCACAGCTTATCTGTTGTTGCCAAAAAGGCAAAGGGGGTTAGTGGAAGTAGGTCACTGGTGAGCTGACATATCAGATGCATACTTGAATATGTGTATATCTATGAGCATGTCCTGAAGTATTCAAACCTAATGTGTTATCTTTGGTGTTCATGTCTTGCAAGCTGGTTAAATTTGCTTTACTTGACCTTGTACTGCTCTGTCTCCCCATGAATTCTTCTGAGCATGTGTGCATATATCCCCTGTGTGTTTGTGTACATGTTTATTTGTGTGTGTGTGTGTGTGTGTGTGTGTGTGTGTGTGTGTGTGTGTGTGCGCGTGTGTGCGTGAGGGTTGAGGTATTAGATTAATCTGCTGACAGGGATATTGCCTCTAATGCCTGGCTAGCTGCTCCAACATGCTAATGAAATGGGCAGGCCTCCACAGCAGGATCAGACACAGAGGTCAGCAGTGGAGAAAATTGTACTGTTCATGCAAAATCATGCTGAAGTTTGCAAATAGGAGAGTGGGACACTTGAGAGTCCAAGTTTAACTTTTATCCAGACTCTTGCTTTGTCACTCTGTCTTTCCTCTCCCTATCAGTCATAGCTCCTGAGAACTGTGTATTGTCTTCTTCCCTGAAAGTAGGACTGTACCCGGGCTGGCAGATCAGAAAAGTTTTCCTCACGTTATATTGTGTGAACAAAAAGGATATTTGACCAAACAGCCATCGCCAAAATACCCCAAGGCTTCAAAACTACAGCCCACAACTGACATCACAGCTATCTAATGTATTATAAGTTATGTCAACCAAAATTTTTACTATCCAAATACTCCCCTCCACTCTAAAAAAATCTGTATGGAAGCTTTGCAGAAAGGCTTTTGATTTCATGACCTCAATACACGACCACATCAGCCTCCAGCAATAACTGCATGGATGGTAGTATTATTGTCAGTTTATTCTTGAAGATTTAAAACCAGGCAACTGGACTGTGTAGAGTTGGGAAGTCCTTTCGCCTCTTATCCAAGAAGCTTCTTCAGTTCTATAATCGCTAGTGTGAGGAGCAGATATTTATCTTACTGGAGAAGGGGACAGACAACGACTGGGAGGAGTTGGAAAGAATGGGTCCTAGAAACCCATCTCCGGGTGTGTCCCCCCCAAGTCGTTAACCTGAAAGGGTCGTTAATGACCCCTGTCATGTGACCACATGACTCATGTCACCTGAGTCATGTGGTCCCAGGTGTGAATGTTTGTGGAGCTTCCTGGGGAGAGAGCTGAGAACAGCATTGTAAGTGCCAGAGAGATTGTGCCTGAGTCCACCCCCTCTGTTCAGAGAAGGTTTCTCCAGCCTGGTAAAGATGGCTTCTTTAACTCCTCTTTCAAACCATCTGTCTTCTCAAGCCAACACCTGTACATTGCTGTCCTCGAAAGAGTGACCCGTGTCCTT